GGACTGAGATTCCAGCTTCCAAAAACATACAATTCAATCATAGACATGATCCCTTCCAGATATCACCAAACCCCCCACCCCATCACAGAGGAACGAGGGACTTACCCGCTCCAGCCGGTGAACAATACCTCCTTAACGACCAACCCTTAACAATCATAGACAGGTTTCAGGTATTACAGGAGACAATCCCCCCCTTAATGACAATCCCCCCTTTAACGACCGACCCCTAGAATCATAGACAGGTTCAGATATTACAGGCTAACGATGGAACTAACGACCCATTCATCGGTTTCTATTGCATGTTTCCAAGCGATACAAGGCGTTGTCTATATAAGACTCAAACTCACTGCGGATCCAGACATTTGAATTGAGAAAGCTTCCTGGAGAGGTGGCGTAACGTCTTCAAATCTTGAAAACCAAGTCCAGTGGATATTTTTTGAATTTTTACGGAATGACTATGACCTGGATGACTGAGAACCTTCATCAGCTTAAATACCAGGGAATGTTTTGTAATTTTTCAGAAAAACAGCTAATGATTGGTCGTTTAGCCGAGGGGGAGTCGCTAATTCAGCCACACATTTCCCAACCTGAGTGGGGCGGTCCACTGTGACGCCCACTGATGTGACCGTGAAGGGTCCACATGAACCCGGGTTTAAATGTGGGTTTCAACCCAGAGGAGGTTTACCTTAACCTGGCTCCACGTATCCATCTGGAAACCTTCCGTTGAAGTAATTTTAGGAAGTGCCCAAAATACTGGTTAGCTGATTGGCCTATGTTGGTGATAGACGGGCCAAATAAACCAATCAGATCAACGAAGCATATGACGTACTAACAGAGCAACGACGAAAACACAACCACAAGCCAATTGATAGATCAAACTCTTGCCGAAACCAGTCGGGAGAAGAGCAAAAACATCTTTTCTTTCAGTGAAGAAATACTCTGTAATTCCGATAAAACTTGCTGGATAGCCACGCTAACGCTAGTTTCATCGGCTGAAGCCGCCATGTTCTTTAGACTGAACTGTCGCGCTTCTCGTTGCGTCACACCTCAACCCGCCTCAAAGCCAACGCTGATTGGACGTTCGTTTGGTGAACGGCTCCAAATTTTCTTTAACGGAGAGTCTCCAGACTGATTAGCGAGTGAAATCTTGAAAGCTCGCAAGATCAGGCTAGGATTCCCCATGGTGTCTAAATAACGTCTGCTCTGGGCGCAGTGAGACTCAAACAGAGGCAGACTTCTGGGTCGTGGTTCTACTCTGTTTATTTTTAAACATCAGCTCCCCTTTGTGTCGGCATCTTTTATCCAATCTGAAGCGGGTCAAACCTCCGCTCCTTTCCCTGGTCTGCATGCGTATCTCAGCCGGTCCCGGTTCTCCTACCCTGCCTGCTCCGTTTTGTTTACAACACCTAAAACTCTAGTAATTCTGGGTAAAACCACTTCTGCTCCGCTTTCAGCTGCAGCCAGAACTGGGCCGGGCCTTCATGCCTTCCAGCAGAGGAATAACTCTGACATTCGGTACCACAAAACCAGGGAGTTTATTTGAAGCTCAAGTGCAGCATAGTCATTACAGTGTGGTTGGGTTTTTTTTTTTTTTCGTCTACGTTTGCCACCAGCATGCAGATGGAGGGTCAGCCCAGATTCTTCTGGACCTTTTATTTCACCAGAACCAGGCCACTGAAAGGGATCCGCTGGGTTTGCATTTTTTAAACCCTCTGAAACCAGATTAAACACCACTTCACATTTTTATATGTACCTCAGTTTTTTTGTTTTTTTAGTGAAGGAAACTAATTTTAGTAAATAAATAAAAACCTCATAATGAGAGAGCGGTGTCTGATAAGTGTTTGATTCCTTCCTATCAAAGGTACGAGGCTCACACAGCTCCTATAACGAGGAAGAACTGTGATTAGAGGATTCTATAAGATATCTAGTTAGAGGTTTTTCTTTTATTATCTCTGTGCTCTAAATCAAAGCTGCAAATGCTGATCATCACAAAGCCACGGCTTATGGCTTCATCCTGCAGTGTTTGTCCTGTTCAGACCTGTTATTAACACACATCCTGCATGTTTCTAAAAGAAAAACCAGCCTAAGAGCGGCTGTTCAGAGCTGGCATTAACAGATCCACCCGCCTAACGTCACAGAGACGGCCGCAGGCTGACAGATACATCAAATTCTTTTACTGGATTATTGTTTGGACTTCAGCATCATGGCTGCATTTCATGTTTGCTCTGCTGTTTGACAGACACACAATAAACCACCTTATGTGGGACTTTCCAAAGTTCCACCCAGTGAATAAAGATTTGGATCCATTAGATTATTTTTTTTGTTATCCAAACTAATAATGTGCATCTTCATTTTATCAATAGATCCAGTGCTGAAGAAAAACCCTTAATGATGTCGATAACATGTAGAAAACTAGCAACGACACGTACAGATCCATTGTTTAGATCAGGGCTTTCCAAAAGCATTAATACCCCTTGAACTTTTCCACGTTATCGCATTAGAGATATAAACGTATTTTATTGGAATCTTGTGTGAAAGATCAACACAAAGTGGGAACAACCGGCGCAGAAAGGAAATAATACATGATTTGAAACTCAAACTAAAAGGTTAAAGGAATAGTACACCCAAAACATGATTAGCCTTCATTTTCTACTCACCCCCATGCTGAACAACACTCTGGAGTACTTTTTTGATATCTCAAATGCATCTGGAGATCTGGGAGGCTTCTTGCTGTCTGCTGACATTCAAATAATGGAGGTCTATGGCGCCCGAGGCAGAAAGGTCCATAAAAGTCCACAAAAAACGTGTCAATATTCCTCCATACTGCTCGTCCAATGTATTCCAAGTGTCCTGAGTGGGTAGCGTCCATAATTTATTCGAAACAAAGTCATTTAGAATGTTTTTAGAGCATAAACAGTAGTGTATAGGATTTCCTGAAAGCGCGTTCACGGCGCTACGGAAGCCGGCAGACCAAACCAGATGAAAGTGCGCATTCAGTGTCTGCTCTGCCGATAATGCAAGCGTAGAAGAAGAAATGTGCTGTTTACCTGTGCAAAGAAAGAAACAACGAAAGAAAAATGTCTGAGGACTTCAGTGTTGAGGAAGAGCATGAGTTCTTTGCCGAGCTGAATGCGCACTTTCGTCTGGTTTGGTCTGCCGCGGTTTCCGTAGACTCGTGAACGCGCTTTTAGGAAATCCTATACACTACTGTTTATGCTCTAAAAACATTCTAAATGACTTTGTTTCGAGTAAATTATGGACGCTACCCACTCAGGACACTTGGAATACATTGGACGAGCAGTATGGAGGAATATTGACACGTTTTTTGTGGACTTTTATGGACCTTTCTGCCTCGGGCGCCATAGACCTCCATTATTTGAATGTCAGCAGACAGCAAGAAGCCTCCCAGATCTCCAGATGCATTTGAGATATCAAAAAAGTACTCCAGAGTGTTGTTCAGCATGGGGGTGAGTAGAAAATGAAGGCTAATCATGTTTTGGGTGTACTATTCCTTTAAAAACAATCCACAGGACTTTGCTTCCAAATTTAAAGATGTTTTGCCTCCCATCCAGGAAGCTTTTTCAATTCAAAATGTCAGAAATAGCGTTGAGTTCCGGGTTTTATCCAGTAACCTCTCCCAAATTATAGCTGACCGCAGACAGGAGGCCGCCTTGTTTTGTTTTTATGACCGAAATTACAATTACAATTCGATTCTCTTGCGGACGAATCGATGCATCGGATCGTCGGCTGTTGGATCAGTGCATCGATACAAAACGATTATTATTTACACCCCTACTGTCTATGTCTCTGTCGTTAAAGGGGTGGAACCTTTCGAGCATTTCAATTTACATGCCGTTAAAAGTTTTTAAAAAACAATCCACTGGACTTTGTTTCCAAGATTTGAAGACGTTTCGCCACCTCTGCAGGAAGCTTTCTCAATTCAAATGTCTGGATCCGCAGTGAGTTTGAGTCTTATATAGACAAGGCCTTGTATCGCTTGGAAACATGCAAAGGGAAACTGATAAATAGGTTGTTCGGTTCCATTGTTAGCCTGTAATATCTGAAACCTGTCTATGATTGTTAAGGGTCGGTCGTTAGGGAGGTATTGTTCACCGGCTGGAGCGGGTAGGTGCTTTGCTCCTCTGTGATGGGGTGGGGGGTGTGGTGATATCTGGAAGGGATCATCTCTATAACTGAATTGTAAGTTTTTGGAAGCTGGAATTTAAGTCCACCACCTCTGTTTAGAGTTGGTTTTTCTCTCTTAAATTGAACGGAGAAAGCTTCCTGGAGAGGTAGCGAAACGTCTTCAAATCTTGGAAACCAAGTCCAGTGGATTGTATTTTTTAAACTTTTACTGAATGATTCCATTTACATGTTGTCTAAGCAAGGGACTTTAGACGAGGCTAGCAGGATGACGACCCTAAACATGAAGTCAGGGCTACAACAGAACGGTTCATATTCAGGTGTTGGAACGGCCCAGTCAAAGTCCAGACCTAAATCCAGAGTCTGCGGAAAGATCAGAAAACTCCTGTTCACAAACGCTCTGAGCTTTAGCCGGTTTGCAAAGAGCAATGAGCAAAAACTTCAGTCACTAGATGTTTAAAGCTAGCGGAGAGACATCTGAGACCGACTGCAGCTGGAATCACAGCAAAGCTCTCTTCAGGAAAGTAAAATAAATGTTTAATTTTATATATATTTATGTTTGTGGTGTTAATGTGACAGAATGTGGGAAAGTTCAAGGGTTATTAATACTTTTACAAGCAATAATACGCATACGTCAGACTCATAAAATAAGATTCATTCATTCATTCATTGATTTATTTAATAACCAATTAAAACCCTTAAATACCCCAAATAATGAAAAATATGAATATAGAAATTCTTCCCTTATATTTCTAAACAGACAGAGTGAAGTCATTCTGTGTATTTTAGGGTGTCTGTGTTTTCTGGGGTCAGATGTTTGGTTTAGATCGTGTTTCCTGCTCCTCCATGTTTTTCAGATGATGGTCTGATCCTGTAGCCTCCTCCCTGCTCCTCCTCTCAGCTCTACCCCACTGACTCCTCCTGGGTTCCCCCGGCGTCCGCCCGCTGCTCGTCCCTCAGAAATGCGCTTTGGAAGCTGAGGTTCCTGCTCTGATGGTGGAGAGCATCGGGATCCTCCGCAGGAACAAGATGCCAGTATGCCCATCACTCAGGACAACGCCCTCAGCATCCTCCTGCTGCTGGAGGACTGGCTCCGGGCTCAGGCGCTGAGATCTACCCAGACTGAGAGCAGAGAAGAAGAGCGTTTGGAGACTCAGGTAGTTCACAGGTTCTCCTCTAACTCACATTTTATTTCAAACAATCTCATTTTTTAAATTATCTTATCAGGTTTTAATGTTCTAAAGAACCGCAAACAAAAACAATAAAATTAAAGAACACAGTTCCACCAAAATACTAAAAAAATTAAAACATAATATTTCATTAATTAGAGCAAATCTATTAAAATGTAGTATTTAGTAGTTATTTTAGCAACATAAAAACTAATTTCCCTTAAGCTGTATTTAGTAAGCTTTAATTTGAAGGGTCAGAGTAGATGTTTGGTAAAGATATTTAATTGTTTATGACTTTATTTTGGTTTGAGAAGTCGGCCTAAAGCAGGTTTTTTTAAAGGGATTTTTCCTCTCTGGTTGGAGACGATCGGTTTAACCTTCCAGGATGTCTGGAACGTTCCTCTGACAGCCTTTTATTTTTGACTTTTAAACACAGCAAACACGGAAATCCAATTAAGTCATTTTTGTTGGAAAAGGATTATTTTCTCTTAAGTAGATAAGTAAGAGAACTTTTCAATAGAATAGGATTAATTATGTTTAAATAAGAAAAAAATAAGATGAAAATAAAAAAAAGATAATTAGTCGATGAAATGAAGAGTAATTATACCAATTTTAAGAATTATTTAACAGATTTTTGGATCCGTGTTTGCAGTGAAACTCAAGTTTACTAAACTTTTGTAAATATAAAAAGTATATCAACTTACCAGAACTTACTAGAGGAAGTTTATGCTTTAAGAATTTGAGTAAAAAACAGAGAGTTTCCAGATTACTTCAGGGTTGAAGGTCGCAGACACACACTGCAAAAAATTGACATCTAAATAAGTGCGTTTTTTCCTGAATTCAGGAGGTTAGTGAGACACTTTGCCAATGACAGGGTTTCCCAGGGTCATTAAAAATCATTAAAAGTCATTAAATTATTATTTTTTTAATTAAGGACTTAATTGGCATTAGAATTAATTTAATGTGATGATCCTTGCATTTAAAATGCTCTATTTAAAAAAAATGTTTATAAAAACAATTTTGTCAAATATATAATATTCCAATAATGTAGTTCCACGGAGCTGCTTCTGGTTGATCATAAATCCGTATGTTCGGAAAAGAAAATCGGTGGCGGAGAAAAAGCTAGAGAATTTCAACAAAAGTGGCTGAAAAACGAGGAATACGGGACATAGCTGCAGCATGAAGAGGGATTTCGCCGTTTTATTTTTATATATATAATCATATCAATTTCAATGCCCTCAACAAGTCAAAAGTACTTGTTGAGGAAATTTAAATTAATTTAATATAAAAGAGCATTAGAAAACATGAAATTAGAGTTACTCATTCCTGTATAAACCCTGATGGAAACAAGGAAACTAACATAAAAATAAGAAAAAAGCAATTAGATTGTCTAATTTTAGGTGTATAGTATCTAATTATCTTATTTTATGGGTAAAAATCCTAATTCCATTGGCAGATCATCTTATTTACCTACTTAAATTAAAGGTAAATCCACTTAGTTTAAGACATTTTTACTCATTTCTAGATCATTTTTGCAGCTTTTGACTGATTGCTCGGATCTCCTGCCTCTTCCAGGATGAAGAGTCCCAGGATGGAGATGAAGACAGTCTGTGTGACGGTGTTGGCGTTGGCAGCGTCCAGCTGGAAGACCTGACCTTGTGTCTGGCTGCTGCTCAGAAGCTGGTGGAGTATATTAAGTTCAACTTCATGGAGAGTGAGGCGTCTCCCTCAGCAACAGGCTCCTCCCGTACGAAGGGTCTGGAGGTGGAGGTTCGGGCCGTTTCCCTCAGCAAACGGGAGGAGGATGCGGCTGACTTTGGCCTCAGCTTTGGGAACATCCCCATTTTTGGAGATCCTGATATCAGGAAGAAGGGATCATCGAGGAAGAGGAGGGAAGCCGGCCCCATCGTTGACGTGGGCTGTGTCTGGGTGACGGAGGTGAAGAAGAAAAGCCCCGCCGCCTGCTGCAGGCGCATCCGACTCCGAGACGAGCTGCTGTCTGTCAACGGGCAACTGATGGTGGGAGTTAACGTCACCGGAGCCAGGTAGGACCCCAGCATTAGATCCTTCACCAGGTACGACACGGCCGATCCAATCCAGCACTCGTTCACGGATAATGAGTCCACAGAAGATCGATTCCATTTGATAAATTGATGTTTTATTAATTAATAATAAAATGATAAACTAAAATAATTACAGGGAAACTGACTGTTGGACAATGATCTTGGTCTCCCAGTAAACTGCGAGGTGTTTCATATTTGAAGAGCCAAAAGTACACTGGAAAAAATCTAAATCTAGATAAGTCATTATTTCATAAAATAAGTGCATTTGTTCTTGAATTTAGAAGGTAAAAGACATATTTTGCCAATGAAACAAGATAATTTACATTTAAAATAAGAAAATACAATTCCATGGTCTTATTTCAAGTGCATTTTATCTAAATACCTTATTTTAAGAGTAAATATACTCCTTCAATTGGCAAATCATCTCATTTACCTACTTAAATTCAGGGTAAATTCACTTAATTTGAAAAATTTTTACTTATTTCTAGATCTTTTTTCCAGTGTAGCGCCACTGTTTAATCATCTTGTCATCATCAACATGCACGAAGACTTAGATTTAGACAATTTTTATTGCCATTTTGTACAAACAGAGTGTATACAAAAAGAAATTTCATTTTGTACAGCGTTCATTGCATTTCCATTTATTAAAGTGCAGCAGTGATTAAATGTAAACGGGGAGAAAAAACGCATTGATACGGATGTTCAGAGCATTAAATATATATATATTAGGGATGGAACGGTTTATGAAAACTGTCCGAACCGTTCGGTTCGACTGTCTCGGTTCGGTTCGCGTGTGTTGCGTTCGGTTCATGCGCTGCTCCTTTTTCTCATAGGCGAAGCGTTTACACTCCAGAGCAGAAGGTGGCGGTACCGCGACCAAAGCCAACCACCAGTAGTAAACAAGAAGAAGAAGAAGAAGCGAAGCAGCGTAGCCGGGTGTAGCAGAAAAAATCAGTTGTTGTGGAGAATTGTGTGGGTATGGGGAGTGGGAAAGAACAGGAGTTGGAAGACGCGCCAGCAGCACTTTATAGGTCTGCTGTATGGGAGCGCTTTGCATTTAGAGCGACCTACGATGACGGCGGAAAGAAAGTTGTGGATAAAAGTGCAACAGTTTGCAAGCATTGTGCAACACGTTTTGTTTATGCTAACAGCAACACGACCAACATGTCATGCTAACCCCGAAATCCCACATACTCCGTCAGCGCTCCGCCCCGCTGCGCTCCAGACCGCCTGCACAAAGCAAAGCCTACAGCCTCCACTGTGGCTCCCGTCCGCTCCGCTCTGAGTTCCTTGGAGATCGTAGAGGGCATGCGCCAGATGATTAAATCAAAGCAGCAAAACATGCGGAAATGATCCAGGGTTTCCGCGGATCATTAAAAATAATTACAATTCATTATTATTATTTTTTTTTCATTAATTTCATCAATTTTAATGGGATTTCGGGGTAACAATCAACATATACTGAAACGAACCGTGGATTTTTTGAACCATTCCACCCCTAATATGTATATATGGTACATTTTTTGCAGTGTTCTGGTTTGGTGTTGTCAGTTTGATGCAGAGTCTGTGACATCTAGCGATGTCGCTACGGTAACTGCCACACTCAAGCTGCCGCCTCGTAAGTCCCTCAGTCCCTGGAAGAGCAGCACATTGCTAATAAAGCAGTTGGACAGCAAAGGAACATCAGACCAAAGTTGGTTTAAAGCCGTCAGTCGTTCATCAGTAATTTTCCACCTACCGAACCAACATCTGTTATGCCATTGATACATTAGCGACACTTCGGCTGAAAATGAAATATTTATTGAGCTTTGGTTTCTCAGTGTTGGATACTGAACCTGATTTATATTTATCAGAAAAAATATAAAAAATCTGATTACTTTTCAGAATATTGATAATAATTTCCTGTGGCTTTTTTCCTTTACTGCAAGAATCACAGTAGTCCTTCAAAAAGCCTCAGCATGCCCCATTTTTATCTACAACTGCTGTAATGTTGTAGACTCCTATATTTATCTTTCATACTTGCATACATTAAATTAGCATACATGGTTTGTTTAATATTTAGTCTAATTAAAGGCTGGTTTTAATATTTTATTCATTGAAATCAGGTTGCTATAGAACCAGTGAAACTAATTTAGCATAATTTCTTATAAAGGGCTTGAAATTACAAATCTGCTTGAAACATGATGAAGGAGTCTGAAAATGGCCTCATTTAAATAATGGAGTTAAAAATATCTCTGGGGAGCACGTTGGAAAACCGCCTTCAATTTTACTTTTTCATTTTATATTATTCAACTAAAATGCTTTACCATTAAGATATGAAGTAAGGATTTCATCAACTAGATTGTTTTTATTTTTATCCAAACTTTTTTTGTACCGGTAATTGTGAAAAATCACACAAATTAGAAAATATGATTTAAAGGAAAGCAGATTTACAAAGTTAATACAAGATATAAAAGGAAAATAAATGAAACAACATAACAAAAACACAGATGCTCTAAAGTTTGACTGATGTCACCCTCATTTGCTTCTGTCTGTTGCTTTTGGCATGAACTTTAGAAATGTAACGCTTAGAAGGAGCCATTTCTGATCTCTATCATGGAGCTGCTAAGAAATGACAAAGGCTGAGCTCCATCTCTGACACCAACCTGCTGTTGATGCAGAATCCTTTGGTGTTGAAACCAGAACTAAATATTTGTATAGTTTTATGTTACATCAAAAAATATAATTGATGAAAATGTTTCTGTAAAATGAATACCTCCATTTTGCACCTCTCTAGACGTTCTGTTCATACCGCTAAAGAGCATCCAGACATGGCTGTGCTGGTAGCTGGGAAACTGCAGGAAATAGTACATGTTTCTGGTTGCAGCTCTCTCTCTTTTTGTGCTCCAAAGTATATCTTCTAAACATCCAGTTGAAAACATAAGATGAAGGTTCATTGAAGTCAGATTCTTGGAAAGTTAAAGTGTGTAAATCCGCCCATAGTTCTGTATCTTGGCTGCATATCAGCACCTGTGATGTTTGCTTTCTGTTCAACCTGTTGAACAAATAGTTCTCTAACAAATGTTTCTGTGTATCTTTTTCCTTTTGTGTTTGGAGGCATAATAAAGAGAGAAATAAAGTGTTGAAATACTTTCAGCTCTTTGACAGATCAAATGTATTAATTGAGTTTTTGTACTTTTCTACGGAAGAGGATTAGGGCCACTGGAAAAAAAAAAGTTAACTGATTTTTAAATTTGATTTCAGTTTAACATGGGGAAAAAAGTCAGAATTCTGACTTTTTTTCTCTCAGAATTCTGACTTTTTTTCTCAGAATTCTGACTTTAATCTCAGAATTCTGACAGCTAACAAACTAGGGTGGCCAGATGTCCGGCTTTAGGGCGGACAGTCCGGATTTTCATTGCACTGTCCGGCGTCCGGCGCTGCACCTAGCCGGACGTGTATTTGTCCTCCTTTACCCCCAGATTCCACATACTCCGTCAGCGCTCCGCCCCGCCCACGTACGTCGTGCGGAGTACTTGTCTGTCATGTAAATCAATGAGAGCTGTTCCACATCCTCCGCTCGTCACCGCCCACGTACGTCTTCTCCGTCCTTCACCGTCAAAATACGGAGCTGAGCTATTTTTTGCTCCCCTCCGGTCCGTCCAGATCAAGACCTGCTATTGCAATCACACCAAACAGAAAAAAGAATGTAGAGAAGACCCGGTTTGTCAAATTAAATTATAGTAAAAACAGATCGGTAACTAGAAATTAGAGCATAGTTCGTATATCTTCCCAAAAACTAAGAGCAATTAATTAAATAAGTTGATGCAGAGCGCATCTCACAACTTTATGTATGATCCTAGTTATCCCTGTTACAAAAATCCACAACAGAAAGAAAATATTTGGGCAGAAACTGAACATCTGCTGGATGATGATGGGGATTTTTTTAATATGTCAGATTAAATTAAGCGTTCACAGGTTTTATACAGGAATGAGGAACTCTAATTTAATGCTCTTTTAATGCTACTAGAAATAATTTTAATGCCATCAACAAGTATCATGTACACAAGTTATTAGTTTACATGAAATAAGGAGCTGTAAGCACAGTTCCATGACTCAAGTTTATATATATATATATATATATATATATATATATATATATATATATATATATATATATATATATATATATATATGGATAGATAGAGAACATGGTGAAATCATCTTTACTCTCAACAGGCTGCAGCCATGTCATGAATTCCTCTTTTCCAGCCACTTTTTGCAGTTTGCATCGTCCTATTCTCTAGCTTTTTCTCGAGCTTCTTTTCCAAACAACTCCTTTATGATCAATTGCAGCAGTTCTGCGCAAATTAATCGTGTTAAAAAATTGTCACTTTTTAAACACCACAATATATAAATAAATACAAATGCTGGGAACCAATTCTTTTTTAAATTTCTTTAATATTTTGTTCTATTCAGCTACACAAGCATCCTCTTTAAACTACTAAGAATTGTACTATAAATGTGACTTTACCCGATTCTTATGTACACCTTAGTAATTTATTGATATGCCGCACAATGTCCTCCTTTTTGGTGCTATAGAAATGGCCACCCTATAACAAACATGTTAGCATCAAGCCATAGCCATGTCTGTTTTAGCGACTAGCTCTCTTGTTTTAATGACCTTCTGCTCTTCTGCTCCTCCATTAATGAGGGGATGAAGTTTTCACTTCTCCTACTTTTTTATCTACAGTCCTTTCAAAGCAAAACGGAAGAGGATTATGGCCACTGAAAAAAAAAAAGTTAACTGATTTTTAAATTTTATTTCAGTTTAGTATGGGAAAAAAGTCAGAATTCTGACTTTTATCTCAGAATTCTGACTTTTTTTCCCCTCAGAATTCTGACTTTTTTAATCTCAGAATTTTGGATCTTAATGTAGATGGGCACCATGAAGGTAGAGATGTAGAGCACTCAGCTTCACTGACAAAGATGTGAGTTGTTTGAGGTGGCCAGTGACACATTGGTGGAAAATGACGGAATTAGGCTACGTGCCTGAGGGGTCCCCTCATTAATGGAGGAGCAGAAGAGCAGAAGGTCATTAAAACAAGAGAGCTAGTCGCTAAAACAGACATGGCTATGGCTTGATGCTAACATGTTTGTTAGCTGTCAGAATTCTGAGATTAAAGTCAGAATTCTGAGATTAAAGTCAGAATTCTGAGAAAAAAGTGAGAATTCTGAGATTAAAGTCAGAATTCTGAGAAAAAAAGTCGGAATTCTGAGAAAAAAGTGAGAATTCTGAGATTAAAGTCAGAATTCTGAGATTAAAGTCAGAATTCTGAGAAAAAAGTGAGAATTCTGAGATTAAAGTCAGAATTCTGAGAAAAAAAGTCGGAATTCTGAGATTAAAGTCAGAATTCTGAGAAAAAATGTCGGAATTCTGAGATAAAAGTCAGAATTCTGAGAAAAAAGTCAGAATTCTGACTTTTTTCCCATACTAAACTGAAATAAAATTTAAAAATCAGTTAACTTTTTTTTTTTTTCAGTGGCCATAATCCTCTTCCGTTCTGCTTTGAAAGGACTGTAGATAAAAAAGTAGGAGAAGTGAAAACTTAGAATTACCCATGAGGGACGCCTTGTATTTTTGGAGCCTTAATGTGCTTTGGCCATAAAGACCTTCTACATTGATCACACTGCTGAGAAACTGATTAAAACACTGATGATAAAAAAATTAAACTAAGGTTTGGGTAAAAAGCCCTCTCATTGAGAGAGGGCTTTTTACAGTTTGTTTGAAGGTCAAAGACATCCTGTTGGGATAGCTGTATTCTGGTAGTTTATAACAATATATCGGTGATGTCATAGCATGACACTGAAATTAAGCCTCCTGAATCTGCTGCATTGAGGCCCAGTTGGATTGGTAACTGGAAATTGGGCTGCTCATTGGTGTGGTAGGTAGCACTGGTTCTGGTTTTGGGTTTGATTCCTGGCCCAAGGTCTTTCTGCATGGAGTTTGTTCTCCCTGAGCATACGTGGGTTCTCCCCAGGTACTCCAGCTTCCTCCCGCAGTCCAAAAACATGATTGTTAGGTTAATTGGCTTCTCTCATTTCTCCTTAGGTGTGAGTGTGTGTGTGAATGGTTGTTAGTCTCTGTGTTGCCCTGCGATGGACTGGCAACCTGTCCGGGTTGGACCCCGCCTCTCACCCGTAGACAGCTGGAGATAGACACCAGCCCCCCTCACGGCCCTGCATGGGATAAGCATGACAGAAAATGGATGGATTGGTTACAGTCAAGTGTGAAGGGGACAGTGGTGGAAAGTAACAAAGTACATTTACTAAATTACTGCACTTAAAGGGGAATTTCGTTTATTTTTTTTTACATTGGGCCCTTGATTTTACGTTATTCCATCATGTTCTACTCACCCAAATGAGTTTTGTGTCATTTGGAGCTGTTCCGCAGATATTCCGTTAGGTTATATCTAAGTAACGTCTTCCTATGGGCAACGACTTGAAGGCACAAACTAAACTGTTCATCATTTATGGTATGCCAGCATTCAGAACATGTAGGCCAATCACTGTCCCCCAGACATCCACGGTTATATTTTTTATATTTATATCTTTTAAAAACGAAGCGGGGCGTGAATGACGTCATCCGCGCGCCGGACTGGTTTTTTTATTTATTTATTTTTTCAAAAAAACTTTATATAACCAATGTACATTACACCAGGCGGCTACGCTCTACCCCTTCTATTCATTCTAGCTGATCTGAATCGTTCAGTTCCATTTGGAGAGCGAGATCATCTGTGGTAGCAGCACTAGACATCTTCTAGGCATGTGAGGAAAACTAGCAGCAGTTCAGAGGACAGGATGAATGAATGGTAGCCGGCACGCGCTGATGATGTCATACACACGCCGCTTTGTTTTAAAAATAATATAAATATAACAAATAGGGATGCACGATATAATCGGCCCCCTATCGGTATCGGCCTTAAAACTGAATATCGGACATCGGCCACCCCACCGATATTTAACCCGATATTTGATCAGCTTCTGAGTTTCTAAAGTCTAAAAAAAAAACTCAAAAACTTCTTTTTTACAGACTTAAAAACTTCTAAAGAAGAGGGAAAAAATATTGATACATTAAAATATCCCAATATCTTCATATGCTGATATATTGCCATTTAAAAACACCATATCAATCTCTTTTACTAATGAAATATTGCTATATGTCATCGTTATGCTACGAAATCCCTCGAAAATTTACGAAATTTTGCCATATTTTTATATGTTGATATATTGACCCGGTATCGATCTATTTTACTAACAAAATCTCACAAGAATTTGCAAAATATCACGAGAGTTTGTAACAGAACGATGAAATTTCACGAGATTTTGAAAGTAAAATAGATCGATACCGCGTTTTTAAAAATCTATTTGATATCAGCATATGAAAATATATTTAAGTATATTATTTTTCAAAGTGTCAGAAATGGATAACAAAACTGCTATTTTCAATGACTACTTATTTTTGTCCAGCTTTAACATCGGTATCGATATCGGTTATCGGCTACATGAGTTTTAAAATGTCGGCATATTGGATATCGGCCAAAATCCCAATATCGTGCATCCCTACTAACAAATATAACGGCCGATGTCTGGGGGACAGTGATTGGCCTACATGTTCTGAATGCTGGCATACCATAAAGAATAAATGATGAACAGTTTAGTTTGTCCCTTCAAGTCGTTGCCCAAAGGAAGACTTTACTTGGATATAAACTAATGGAATATCTTCAGAACGGCTCCAAATGACCCAAAACTCATATGGGTGAGTAGAACATGATGGAATAACGTAAAATCAAGGCGCCAATGTAAAAAAAACGGTGTTCCCCTTTAAAGGAATAGTACACCCAAAACATGATTAGCCTTCATTTTCTACTCACCCCCATGCTGAACAACACTCTGGAGTACTTTTTTGATATCTCAAATGCATCTGGAGATCTGGGAGGCTTCTTGCTGTCAGCTGACATTCAAATAATGGAGGTCTGTGGCGCCCGAGGCAGAAAGGTCCATAAAAGTCCACAAAAAACGTGTCAATATTCCTCCATACTGCTCGTCCAATGTATTCCAAGTGTCCTAAGTGGGTAGCATCCATAATTTACTCGAAACGAAGTCATTTAGAATGTTTTTAGAGCATAAACAGTAGTGTATAGGATTTCCTAAAAGCGCGTTCACGAGTCTACGGAAACCGCGGCAGACCAAACCAGACGAAAGTGCGCATTCAGCGTCTGCTCTGCCGATAATGCAAGCGTAGAAGAAGAAATGTGCTGTTTACCTGTGCAAAGAAAGAAACAACGAAAGAAAAATGTCTGAGGACTTCAGTGTTGAGGAAGAGCATGAGTTCTTTGCTGAGCTGAATGCGCACTTTCATCTGGTTTGGTCTGCCGGCTTCCGTAGCGTCGTGAACTCGCAGGTGCGCGCTTTCAGGAAATCCTATACACTACTGTTTATGCTCTAAAAACATTCTAAATGACTTTGTTTCGAGTAAATTCTGGACGCTACCCACTCAGGACACTTGGAATACATTGGACGAGCAGTATGGAGGAATATTGACACGTTTTTTGTGGACTTTTATGGACCTTTCTGCCTCGGGCGCCATAGACCTCCATTATTTGAATGTCAGCAGACAACAAGAAACCTCCCAGATCTCCAGATGCATTTGAGATATCAAAAAAGTACTCCAGAGTGTTGTTCAGCATGGGGGTGAGTAGAAAATGAAGGCTAATCATGTTTTGGGTGTACTATTCCTTTAAGTGCTTTTTTTTTTTTTAGTATCTTTTCCTCACTTGACTAATTTTTGTGTGATGGGAGTATTTATACATTTCTGCTCCACTACATTTCCAGGAAGCTGTTTGTTCCTTAGCTTAGCTTTCTAATCCACTGTTTCTCTCCCATGAAATGTAATTCCAACATGGCAGATAGCAGACCTGGATCTGGACACAACTGTTTTAGAGATTCCACAGCTGTGAGAAACTCAGAGCAGATATTATTAGTAGTTTATAATGTTATTAATTAGTTGTTGCCATGTGGCCAAGTTGTTCAGTAGGATGAGTTCTCAGTGCAGTTTCCTTTTGGTAATAGATTCAACCAATCAAGACGCACCTGTTTTCTTTTTGGTTTGTTTTTAGATACGGTAATACATGATAATCAAAATATCTTTTCTTATTTTTTGTGGCATTTTTATCCAGAAGTTGTTCACATGTGGTGCAGAATCTGTAGCAGGTGGTTCTACGCATCAATACAGCAGGAGGTTTCTGAAAGTTTCAAGGTTCTTAAAAATGTATCTGAAAATTATACAGAAATGTTCTGATATTAGATTTAATTTGTATTTTTTAATACTCAGGTACTTTTAACTGCATGTACTTTTAAATAGCTGAGTACTTCAATACTTTAACTGGAGTAGATGTTTAAACAAGTAACTTTTACTTGTAGTTACGTAAGATTTGACTGAGTTTCAATAATTATACTAAAGTACTACTGTCGAGTACTTTGTCCACAGCTGGAAGGGGACCGAGAGAGTCAAGTAGACAGAACCTGTTTTTTTTAACACTTTTGTCCTTTATTGACACCAAATGTTTGCTTTAGTTTAGCTTTTTCCAACTGATTCTTTTTTATTTGTATGTGTTAGGGGTTAAATTTCTCTTTTTACAGCTACCTGGTTGAGCAGTGCTGGAACGGCGGATGCATCTACTTGATCCTTTTGCGGCGAGTGAAGCGAAAGGCCCCTCTCCCTCCTTGTGTCGCGGAAAGCGTCCTCAGTCCTGAGCGGCTGGAATGCAGCGAGAACCAGCAGGACCAGCAGCAGGACACAGCTGATAGTGATGTGGCAAACTACAAACGCACTCGCAAGTTTGGTGTCATATCACGGGCCTCCTTCCATCGAGACCAGGAGGAAAGTCCTGAATCACAGATCCAAAGCTGCACCCAGAGCCCTCCATGTAATGCAGATGCAGGAGTCCGTCCCGCCCTGGAGGACTCTGACTGCAGCCCAGGCTCCTCTCCTCAGATTAGAAAAGTTCAGTCACACAATGGCACTGCTGCAACGCTGCCTGGGAGAAGTCACAGCCAGTTGGTGGAGCGCAGGATGCACTCCTTCACCGGTGAAGCTGCAACCCAGGTGAGACTCTATCCTGCCATTTAACGACGCAAGACATGATATTAGACAGACGTTTGGCTAGCAGTGCGTACGGGCGTAGGATGTACACCCTTTACTAAAAATTAGTGTTGCGCCGATGCCATTTTTTGGCCCCGATACCCGATACCTGGCTGTGCAGTATCGGCCGATACCATAATAATGTAAAATAATTGCGATCATGGCTTCATGTCAAGCTGCTGCCTACCTTTGGGAAGCAGGAAAAAATCTAATACAAAGTGAATCCAGTAGAACTTTTTATTGCCTAACAGGAGTGGGTGACAATAGTTGAATAAACTTATGGCTCTCAAAATGGTATCGGTGCCCTATTTGTTGGTACTCGCTGATACCGATACCACCATTTTAGGGCAGTATCGGGGCCCCGTCCGATACTGGTATCGGTATCGGTGCAACACTACTAAAAATATTAGAAATCGGACGCGTTCGGATGTTTTTGAGATGTACGGCTTTGGTAAGCCCTGGAAACTTTGCTCAAATGTTCAAAAGCAGCAGATGCTGGAGTTGGAAAAATAAAACTTTTGCTGCTAGATGTGCCTCATCAACCAATCAGAGAAGCTGATCTGAGAGCTGGAAGGGAGACTGATACACGATCACTCCTCTTAAGCTGTTTATTAGCCCCTAAAGTAACTTGAAATGTCGAAACCTGTTGGCAAAATATCTTCATTTTTATCATCCTTGTGCCTGCAGTTTGTTAACCTGACTCCGCCAGATGGATTTGCTCCGCATATCCATCTGGAAACCTTCCGTTGAAGTAATTTTGGCGAAAGGGGCGAAAATACTGGTTAGCTGATTGGCCTATGTTGGTGATAGACGGGCCAAATAAACCAATCAGATCAACGAAGCATATGACGTACTAATAGATAGATCAAACTCTTGCCGAAACCAGTCGGGAGAAGAGCAAAAACATCTTTTCCTCTGAGAAAAGCCTCCAGAGCAGCGTTTTGCTCTTCTTTCAGTGAAGAAATACTCTGTAATTCCAATAAAACTTGCTCGATAGCCACGCTAACGCTAGTTTCATCGGCTGAAGCCGCCATGTTCTTTAGACTGAACTGTCGCGCTTCTCGTTGCGTCACACCTCAACCCGCCTCAAAGCCAGCGCTGATTGGACGTTCGTTTGGTGAACGGCTCCAAATTTTCTTTAACGGAGAGTCTCCAGACTGATCTGCGAGTTAAACCTTGAAAGCTCGCGAGATCAGGATGGTCTCACGAGGCTAGCAGTTTGTACCACATACCTGAAAAATGCTAACATCTACGGTCGCCAACAGTACAGTAGCAGCCATTGAAAATGGCCCTTCCCAGTCAAACGCCAGCCAAATGGCGGCCCACTTCCCTCCAACTCAAAGCAAAATCCCCTCCAATTTCCAGCCACTTGAGTGAAGCCCTCTTGCATATTTTTTTACTCTGACTCCAACCTTTTACTGACTTACGGGGTCTGACCAGGAAAGGATGCTTTTATTTAGATCTTAATTTCCACAACTCATGACAGAAAGAAAATTTTAGTAAAAAATTATGTTTAAAAAGGAATTGTAGGAGACCAGCCAAGGACCCATCAATGAAAATGGTTATGTTTTGAATGGTAAAGTTTCCCAGTGACAGCGCACCGCCGGTATGTGGGGGTCCTAGCAGCTCCAAATAATATTTAAGGCAGGATGGTGATCTGGATGAACTGACTGCACAGACCATGTTTTCAGGAGGACTTTCTCACTTAAAAACATGTTAAAGCTACTTTTTACCCACTGATCACAGCAAATATAGCAAAGCCGCTCTCTGGCATTGAACACAGGAGCAGCAGAAGCATCAGACGCATCTGGACACATTTTGACAAGCATCAGAAATGAAGCAGCAGAAGCTTCTTTGCTGCTCAAATTTGTTTGGTGTGAAAGTAGCATTAAACATTAAGCTCATGTCTTCCTTATGAAAATTCCACCTCTAGTCTAGCACACATACTTCCCATAATCAGGACAAAAGTAGTGTTGCAACAACGACAAAAAGTTAGATACATTCCACCCCAAAATACAGGAAATAGCATTACAGAAAGTCTAGATCAGAGGTCACGGATTAGCGGATCCACCTGCTGGCTAATCTGGACCCAATCTGATTTAAAACATTTATAAATTACTGCATGTTGTCCGACTACAGTGTCTAATTTCACTTGCGCCGCTTCTCCTGTTAATACGGTAAAGCCCTCCGGAGCGTCCGGCTCCAGGCTGCACATAATCCAAATGAGCCAATGAGCTGTCAGTCTGGGTTGCTGCTGCTGCTACTTTTAGACACAGCAGGCAAACCTGTGGCAAGCCGGGCGATGGGAAAGAAGGAGAAGACGATGAGAAAAAGAGAGCAGAGAAAGTGTGGACTGCTGGAAGAACTGCGGTGAACTGGTGAAAGAAAAGTGAAATGGCGTGCTCAAAGATGACCCTGCACATTTAGAGGATGTTTGGCTCAACCTGCTGCTGTGAAGCAGGATTCTCCACCATGAACAGAATCAACAATAAATCTGGATCCAGGCTCAAAATGAGCTCCTTGATATGTGCTTGAGAATGGCTTAGTCTCCGGTTAAACCCAGGTTTAAAGCCTTGCAGGGCAGCCTAAAGCCCACTGCCAACATTAAGACAGGAAAAAGAAAGAAAAAGAACAAATGGTGAGTTCAGGTGTTTTATAAAATATGGGAATCAGGAAATTATCTATCCACCAAACTGAATGATTGTTGTTTTCTATATATATTTTGATTATATAGAGTTTATATGTGTTATATGAGGAGCCATATAATCTTGTTTTTGTTTAGAAAACATGCAAATTGAAACGGACAAACTGGTCCACCGCTTTGAAATGGGGGCCGTTTGGTTTCTTTTGTTAGCCTGCAATGCCCCATACCTGTCTATGTCTCTGAAAGGGCCAAAACAAGATTTTGTTGGGCTACTCTATAAAGCCTCAAACTCAGCGCTATTTATGACATTTTGAATTAAAAAAGCTTCCTGGATGGGAAGAGAAACATCTTCAAACTTGGAAACAAAGTCCAGAGGATCGTTTTTTAGTTTATAAATAACCACATAACCTGAGAGCTGCTTTAACAATGCTCCTTCTCTCCAATCCCCCCAAAACTTGGACATTATTCTTCATCGTGTGATATTCCAGCTGTGATTTAACAGTTTGGTTTAAAAGGAACTAGGCAGTCAGATGAGTGAAGGACATCTTTGGTGGAGATGGAGGAGATGGAGATGTCAACTAGCTGTGGGACAGCCTTTGTTCTTCACAATTTTCTGATGTTTAATGTGCAAATTAAATGTAATAGAATAATAGACTAAATCATATTTCAGTCCTAAAAGAACCGTAATAAAAGTTCTTGCTCATTTATTTTAACACGACTGAAAATGAATGTATATTAAAGTAGTTTTTTCTTTGTTCTTCTGTTTTCCAGGCCAGAGAGGGCAGCCACATCTGGAAGATGCACATGGTGAAGGGTCATGAGGGTCTTGGCATTCAGATAACAGGGGGGCGGGGCTCCAGGCGCTCTTCTCAAGGCATCATTATTGCTCATATAGAGAAGGGGGGCGCTATTCACAGGTACCATTAACGCAAATGAATGAGAAGTTTTTATTAGTCAAATGATGAAATGTGCTGATTCTTATCAGGAGGACCAATAAAAGCAGGATTGCTGTGTTTGTAGCTTTATCTTTCCTCTAAAAGGATTTTAGACTATGTCGGCTCTGTCCATGGCAGAGTGGGTAACCCAGCCCAAACCATCACTCCTCCACCGCCGAGCTAAGAGCTTTTAGATCAGATATCCTGCTGCAAAGATGACATCAACAGCAAACAATTGAAGAATTCCTTCCTCCTTATGACGGTTATCTAGAGCATCGTTTCCTAACCGTGGGTTTGAATAGAATTTTATGCAAACATTACATAAATATGGACAATCTATATATGTTTTAATTCATTAAATAAACAAATGGCCAAATTTATTAAAAACGATTCAGTCTATATTTAAATCACTAATCCATTATTCTCCGTTTCCTGTTCAATAATCCATTGTGACTCAGATGGATCCTAACATCTGATAGGTTAGCAACCTGGGAAATGTTTAGCTTAAAGGAATAGTACACCCAAAACATGATTAGCCTTCATTTTCTACTCACCCCCATGCTGAACAACACTCTGGAGTACTTTTTTGATATCTCAAATGCATCTGGAGATCTGGGAGGCTTCTTGCTGTCTGCTGACATTCAAATAATGGAGGTCTATGGTGCCCGAGGCAGAAAGGTCCATAAAAGTCCACAAAAAACGTGTCAATATTCCTCCATACTGCTCGTCCAATGTATTCCAAGTGTCCTGAGTGGGTAGCATCCAGAATTTACTCGAAACGAAGTCATTTAGAATGTTTTTAGAGCATAAACAGTAGTGTATAGGATTTCCTAAAAGCGCGTTCATGATGCTACGGAAACCGCGGCAGACCAAACCAGATGAAAGTGCGCATTCAGCTCGGCAAAGAACTCATGCTCTTCCTCAACACTGAAGTCCTCAGACATTTTTCTTTCGTTGTTTCTTTCTTTGCACAGGTAAACAGCACATTTCTTCTTCTACGCTTGCATTATCGGCAGAGCAGACGCTGAATGCGCACTTTCGTCTGGTTTGGTCTGCCGCGGTTTCCGTAGCGTCGTGAACGTGCTTTTAGGAAATCCTATACACTACTGTTTATGCTCTAAAAACATTCTAAATGACTTCGTTTCGAGTAAATTATGGATGCTACCCACTCAGGACACTTGGAATACATTGGACGAGCAGTATGGAGGAATATTGACACGTTTTTTGTGGACTTTTATGGACCTTTCTGCCTCGGGCGCCATAGACCTCCATTATTTGAATGTCAGCAGACAGCAAGAAGCCTCCCAGATCTCCAGATGCATTTGAGATATCAAAAAAGTACTCCAGAGTGTTGTTCAGCATGGGGGTGAGTAGAAAATGAAGGCTAATCATGTTGTGGGTGTACTATTCCTTTAAAATAAGCACATCAATTACTGCAGAATCAGGCCTTTTAAAAGAATACATTAATATATTAACAGACTTAAATAAACTAAGCCGGAGGAATCTTGACTAAAGCATTTATACCTTATTAAGTTTTCTCGCCATCATTTATCTCTCATGCGCTGACGATCCAATATAAACACCAATAACTGTCCTTCTGTCTCTTTTTCTCTCATTTCATGCTATTCATGTTTACGTTAAATGACTCATCAATGTTCAGCTTTTTTTTGAGAACTCTTAAAAAATGATTCATGCTTTTAAATAATATATGTAATAATATTTGTTTAATTTTTAATTGTTATATTAAAAAAACATTTATTAAAGAAAAATGTACGTTTTTCATTTTATTTGCAGTGATTATGACACATAAATGCTTATATTCCCTTATTATGCATCACATGAAGTCATGTTCTGTTTGAGTCCAGCTTTTACCAAAATGATAATAATAGCGCTGCTTTGTTTTCCTCATTAAGGATTAAAAGCTCCATTAGATTCCAGAAATTCTCAGTTACTTTATTACATAGTAATAGAGTATTCCTCACTATGTGGCCCCTGATTATAAAACCATTTGTGGGTCTTTTCAGGGACGGACGTCTTCATGTTGGGGACGAGCTTCTCATGGTCAACGGTCAGTCTCTGGTTGGGCTCACACATCAGGAAGCCGTTTCTGTCCTTCGCTCCACGACTGGTTTGGTCCAGTTGGTCGTATCAAGCTGGGTAATCAACACACGCACACACACATACTCGTTCTGCTATCGTAGTGAGGGCCATGTGTTGACTCCATTGACTTCCATTGATTTTCAGTCATTTTCAACCCTTTTTATGCCCCAACCCTAAAACTAACCCTAAACCTAACCATTACCAATGCATACCTCACCCTAACCCAAACCCTAACCAATTGACACAACACACACACTGCTTTCTATCCTGTTCTATTTTATTATATATCACATTGGTCTACTGTGATGCTGTAGATGCCTAAAGGGAGTCAAATAAGTCACATATCACCCATTAAACCTTTTTGACCATGTTGCAGCTCTCAGGACCTCCCTGTTTTTAACTACAGATGGGTTCTGTTAGTCCTGTTCTAAAGCTGCAAGAGCTGTTGAGGAATTCTCACTTTCAATGCTGTTTTTTGTTCTACCTCAGATGAACATAGATGGTTTTTTGATTCTCCTGTTATAACTGTCCCTGCAGGATGAGTCAGAGGTGGACTTTGAACACTTTCCTTCCACAAGCCTTCCAGACATCGTCAGCACCTGCAGGTCCTCTCTACCCCCCTGCTCCTCCCAGACTTTCTGCAGCACCACAGGTCTTCACAATTCCTCCCAGGTAACATGACATCATCTCACAGATGAGTGGAAGATGCTGCACATAATCCTTCTGTTTTATAAGTAAGACAGGTCTCATGACTTTAATATGGAAGAATTATTAGATTATTATTAGGATTAACTGGATGGTAATAGGATGATAGTAGCAGCTGGATTACTTTCTCCCATCAATCCATCCCAATGTGTTCCTGGGTCAGATCAGCATCAACCTGTTTATTCCGGATTAGACAAACATTTAGAACACATTTCTGCTGTCACAGTTATCCAGCCTGGAGAACCTGGAAGACTTCAACCACGGGAAGGACTCAGAAGGATGCAGTCCTTCTCCCATGAAGATGGCCGCCCAGTCACAAGGTGAAATCATCCGTCCGTCCATCCATCCATCCATCCATCCATCCATCCATCCATCCATCCATCCATCCATCCATCCATAATTCTTCCATCCATCCATCCATCCATCCATCCACAATTCTTCCATCCATCCATCCATCCATCCATAATTCATCCATCCATCCATCCATCCGTCCACAATTCTTCCAGCAGTCCATCCATCCATCCATCCATCCGTCCACAATTCTTCCATCCATCCATCCATCCATCACCCATCCGTCCACAATTCTTCCATCCATCCATCCATCCGTCCACAATTCATCCATCCATCCATCCAACCATCCATCCATCCACAATTCTTCCATCCATCCATCCATCCATCCATCCATCCATCCATCCATCCACAATTCTTCCATCCATCCATCCGTCCACAATTCTTCCATCCATCCATCCATCCGTCCGTCCACAATTCTTCCATCCATCCAACCATCCATCCATAATTCTTCCATCCATCCATCCATCCATCCATAATTCTTCCATCCAACCATCCATCCATAATTCTTCCATCCATCCATCCATAATTCTTCCATCCAACCATCCATCCATAATTCTTCCATCCATCGATACATCCATCCATAATTCTTCCATCCATCCATCCATCCATCCATCCATCCAACCATCCATCCATCCACAATTCTTCCATCCATCCATCCATCCATCCATCCATCCGTCCACAATTCATCCATCCATCCATCCAACCATCCATCCATCCACAATTCTTCCATCCATCCATCCGTCCACAATTCTTCCATCCATCCATCCATCCGTCCGTCCACAATTCTTCCATCCATCCAACCATCCATCCATAATTCTTCCATCCATCCATCCATCCATCCATAATTCTTCCATCCAACCATCCATCCATAATTCTTCCATCCATCCATCCATAATTCTTCCATCCAACCATCCATCCATAATTCTTCCATCCATCGATACATCCATCCATAATTCTTCCATCCATCCATCCATCCATCCATCCATCCATCCAACCATCCATCATCCATCCGTCCACAATTCTTCCATCCATCCATCCATCCATCCATCCATCCATCCATCCATCCACAATTCTTCCATCCATCCATCCATCCATCCATCCATCCACAATTCTTCCATCCATCCATCCGTCCACAATTCTTCCATCCATCCATCCGTCCACAATTCTTCCATCCATCCGTCCACAATTCTTCCATCCATCCATCCATCCATCCATCCATCCATCCATCCACAATTCTTCCATCCATCCATCCATCCATCCATCCATCCATCCATCCATCCATCCATCCATCCATCCATCCATCCATCCATCCTTCCATCCATCCACAATTCTTCCATCCATCCATCCACAATTCTTCCATCCATCCATCCACAATTCTTCCATCCATCCATCCATCCATCCATCCATCCATAATTCTTCCATCCATCCATCCATCCATCCATAATTCTTCCATCCATCTTCTGAATAGGATGCTCGCAGTTGTCCATCATCTTCTTCACTTTATGAAGAATTCTCCTTTGTGAAATAATCAGCAGAGGTTCTGGAGGATTTCCTGGAATTAGCTTTTTTATGTAATTTGCTCTGATGTTGTTACCCCAGCAGAGGATGGTGGAAGAGATCCAACCTTCTGTCTTGTTTAAATGACAGTAGGTTTGCTAAAGCAGGCGTATGATGGTATCCTTAAAGCTACAGTGTGTAATAATTACAGGGATATACAGTCAGAAATGTAATATATTATACATAACTATGTTATTTATCATCATCTACGAGCTCAGCCTCTTAACCTTAATATTTGCGTTGCCTTAGAATTCGTTATTTATAATTACATAGGAGCGGGTCTCGCAGCCATGGAGGCAGACATCTTTGCGCTACGGCAGCGCAGAGCCGACAAACTAGCGATTGCGAGATCGCCCATTACGCTCGAAAGTAACTACGGCAAGTTGAGAGAGATGAACTGAGACGGTACTGAAATCTATTCCCTACACAGACTAATGAAATACTATCTGTAAAATTATCTATGTAAACAAACCTCATCACTTGAGAAGGTAGGTGATGCGGACGTCGTGGAAGACATTTTGTCCCGTAACGCTCGCCGTACTGTTGGGGGGGAGAAGCGGTGGGGGGGAGATGTTCATGTTGCTGCGGTCTGTAGTCTGGACGTTAGATGTCGCTGAAAATTACACACTGTAGCTTTAACTCCAACACCACAGCAATAAGGTTTATAAAATAGGTTTTTCTTTTACTTTGATTATGTGGGATTTCAGGGCAATGAGTCTACAGTCAAAAAAGAAAAGTTGCTGCTCTGCAGGTTGACTCTAACCTGACAGTAGCCGGGTTGATTTGTGTAGAAATGAGTTGAGTTCTACTTTATCAATCTGGGACGGCTGCCGTTCAGTCTGTCCGTGAAAAGGAGTGACGTTTAGTACGATACTTAGAGCTGACTAGGTGACGTGCCAGCTATTACCCACCTTCCATAATAAGCTTTCAACCAATCGTAGCAGCGAATCGAGTCGCTTTAAAAAGCTGAATCAACCTTTTTCCAAATCCTGTTGGAAGAAACAAATATCTTTCCCATCTACAAATGCAAAAAGTGCTTCTCTTTGCTCCTTTTTTAATTAGCGTAGCCATGTTTGTAATGCCCCTGCAAGCAGGGGCGGATCTAGAAAAATATTTATGGGGTGGCAAGAGGGGGGCAAGAATTTTTTAGGGGTGGCAACATATGGCATTTGTTTACACTGAATTTATTCACAGTTATCACAGTTTGGTGAGAATAGTATGTAGAGTAAGTGTTTCATGTGAAACAGTTCATATTAGAAATACATCGTACAATGAGATCTCACTTAATAGGAGATAGAAGAATGATAACACTACTTCTAGAGGGGCATTATCACAGGAAAGGTATTAAGGTAAGACACAGGTGCTGAGTCGCAGATGTGACAGATTGACTGTCAGAGAGGCAGCTTTGCAGCATTTGCACAAGAAGAAACTATAGAAAGAAAAAGTTCCCCATCAGAGATCTATGGACTGAGCTGTACTAAAGTCAGCATAACTACACAGTAGAAATAAATGGGTCAAGGCACCCGCACAAGGTACCAGACATCCATGTAATGTTTACTCTGAACACACATTTACCCCATTTGTTTCTCAGTAACTTGACATACAGCAGTTAAGGCAACATGAAAGGGACATTTCATGCATGTAGATCTGCTGTAGATAGAGCTGTATATGGAGGACCAACTCTGCCATATTTAAAAATAAATACAGAAATAAATAAATGCTCAATAAATAAATAAACATACAATTAATTGCCACCAAAAGTACAACCAACAAATAAATGTAATTAGAAATTATATTATATTGGCAGGCAGAAATGTTAAAAGGGCAGGCAGAAAGAAATAGCGGCGAAGAAATAACTAGGGTAAAAAAATATCAAGGAAGAATAAAACAGACAAAAATATGATAACATGCACATAAATAAATACTTAAAAATATAAGTAATTAAAAAATGAAGTTGAAGATAATAAATGACAAAAAAAAATAAATAAGGTAAATTTTAAAAAGGCAAAGAAATAAAGAAGCCAATTAAAAGTTATTAAGAGTTATATACCTTTATGACTAGCTGTATAGTTTAATTTCTACTTACATTTGTTTGTTGTTTGTATTTTTGGTGGCAATTAATTGTATGCTTATTTATTAAGCATTTATTTATTTATGTATTTATTTTTAATATGGCAGAGTTGGTCCTCCATACTGCTGTATCAACAAATCAACAAAAAGGCGGGTTCTGTATGTTACATCAAAATCTCCACAAATCTGAAAAGAAGCAACATAAAAATACATTTAGCTTGTGAGTAGGTTCACACAGGTCATTTCTGGATAGTTTCATATTATATATACAAAAAAAGAAACAACAACACTGCTTCATATTAAGCAGGATTTACACCAGTATCACATTTTTAACTTTTAACACTTTTGGTTTTATTAAATTAAATATCAGATTTTCTCAGGTGCCAAAACAAAATGTAACATCTCTGTAAAGGCTCACCAGAGAGCATAACATAAAGTTACCTTGACTATAACAGCTGAATGCAGTGATTTCCATGTTGCTCAGCAAAACGCTTCACAACTTTATTTAGATCCAATGCCTTTGTGCGTTTTGATTTGAGTGCAACCAAACTATATAGTCTCTTTTCTGTCATAGTTGACCGCAAATATTTCTTTATGAGCCTGAGACGTCAGGCCTAACTAACATCATAGATAGAGAAATAACGTTCTGCAACCTGATTTTTATCATCTGTAAATCAGCATTGCAGCTATGCTAGCAACATTGTACTTTCATTATGATTTAATTTCTCGATAGATAGTTAATCAGTTTTTACCTGTTTCATCCCGTGTCTCCTCTCCCCATCACCCCTGGCTCCCTCGCTTTGCCCCGCTCGGTTTTCAAAACAAATCAGTCTCAGTCGCTCTCGCGTCATCTCGTGCTGCATCCACTGCAGTCCGACATTGGAAATTAGCGGTCGCAATTCTCAAATGATCCATAATTTATAAGCCTCGCCACCCCTACCGGCAACTGGGCTGGCAGCTGGGGTGGCAAGGCTGTCATTTAGGGTGGCAGTTGCCACCCTATGCCACCCCAGTAGATCCGCCTATGCCTGCAAGGCCCTTCATTCCTACATGTCCCGCCCCAAAAAACACTGCTGGCATGTCATTGGTCCGCTGGTAGTTCGGAGACTGAGGGCTGGTTATCATCCCGCAGCAGTGTGTCGCTTGTCGCAGATATTTTTGATTTATGCCCAATATTAAAGCGTGTTCTGCGCTATGCTATTTCACGCCACAACGCAAGCGGGACACCTATGCAGACGACCTGGTTTCAAAGTATAAATCCGCCTTTAGCCTTTTTGTGAGTCTGAAAACTCGGATCTCGTAAAAATCCAGATTGCAGCGCAAGGTTAGGTTTACTGCTAGAAGAGACGATTTGTTTCAACTTTGAGTCGGAATCATCTGCCTCACATCACTCCTTTCGGATTGGAGAAAGTGGAAGTTTGTTTACAGTGCAGACGCAGCATGCTTAAAGGAATAGTACACCCAAAACATGATTAGCCTTCATTTTCTACTCACCCCCATGCTGAACAACACCCTGGAGTACTTTTTTGATATCTCAAATGCATCTGGAGATCTGGGAGGCTTCTTGCTGTCTGCTGACATTCAAATAATGGAGGTCTATGGTGACCGAGGCAGAAAGGTCCATAAAAGTCCACAAAAAACGTGTCAATATTCCTCCATACTGCTCGCCCAATGTATTCCAAGTGTCCTGAGTGGGTAGCATCCAGAATTTACTCGAAACGAAGTCATTTAGAATGTTTTTAGAGCATAAACAGTAGTGTATAGGATTTCCTGAAAGCGCTTTCACGAGTCTACGGAAACCGCGGCAGACCAAACCAGATGAAAGCGCGCATTCAGCGTCTGCTCTTCCAATAATGCAAGTGTAGAAGAAGAAATGTGCTGTTTACCTGTGCAAAGAAAGAAACAACGAAAGAAAAATGTCTGAGGACTCCAGTGTTGAGGAAGAGCATGAGTTCTTTGCCGAGCTGAATGCGCACTTTCATCTGGTTTGGTCTGCCGCGGTTTCCGTAGACTCGTGAACGCGCTTTCAGGAAATCCTATACACTACTGTTTATGCTCTAAAAACCTTCTAAATGACTTCGTTTCGAGTAAATTCTGGATGCTACCCACTCAGGACACTTGGAATACATTGGACGAGCAGTATGGAGGAATATTGACACGTTTTTTGTGGACTTTTATGGACCTTTCTGCCTCGGGCACCATAGACCTCCATTATTTGAATGTCAGCAGACAGCAAGAAGCCTCCCAGATCTCCAGATGCATTTGAGATATCAAAAAAGTACTCCAGAGTGTTGTTCAGCATGGGGGTGAGTAGAAAATGAAGGCTAATCATGTTTTGGGTGTACTATTCCTTTAAGTTAGGTGCTTCCTGTAGGGGGCCTTCCTTTCTAGATTTTCCCTATCTGGTCATTTTCAGAGCACAGTGATTGGTGCTCAGACAGGAGAATATGCAAGGATTACTCTTTGATGCATAAATCGAGTGATACCCCTTTGTACCTGATGTTGATAGAGGAATAACAGAGCAAATGACTTTAAAAAACAAACAAGCTCATTAAAAAAGGCCGGCTCTGTTCTAGGAAATCCTCTAGAACATCTGGAGATTATTTCATAAAAGTGAAGAAGATGATGGAAAAACAGTGAGCAACATATTCAGAAGATTTTGAAACAAAAACAAAGTGTCTTCAGTCAGAGGCTTCTCCAGATCAGGTGCAAGACAGACTGCTATAGGAGATCCTTTCTGCTCACAGCTATCAACATCTTTAACTGGTTAAATCAATATGAATTGAAGGGAATTGATCTGAAACTGTGGTCCATTTCACAAAGCTGGTTTACTGGAAAAAATAAAATCCATCCATGTTCTGTAACTCTTTATCCCTGCTGGGGTCGCGAGGCTCCAGCTGTCTACGGGCGAGAGGCGGGATCCACCCTGGGCAGGTCGCCAGTCCATCGCAGGCCGTTACTGATTATAGTTTTCATTATGTTGATTAGAAAGAAATGTATTTCAGATACTATGAATTTATATTCAGTCAAGCTAATTAATGTTAAAATATATAATATTAGAGGTCTGTAAGTAACTGTTTCCATCTTTAGAGGATTTTCTTTTTAAATCTAGAAGCTTTTAGTGTTCAGATTCTGTCTGTAGAAATGCTGCGTCATGGCTCTGGGGCGAAAAAGGTTCATGTCAAACTTTGCAAATATGCTTTGCCACCGTTCTACAGCACCGCGTGGAGACTTTGTGGGTGGATTGTAATGGCTGCACATTTGCTGCAGAGTTGGCAGCTGTGCAGATGGTAGCTGGATGCTGCGTAAACTTTGGGTTTCAGCAGGAAGCCATGTGACCAGATCTCCAAACCGCTTCATCTGTGGTTCTAAGGCTGAGGCTGGACGACCTTCAGCGGGAACTGGATTCTGCTCCAGTAAAGGCTTCCTCAGTAGTTCAGCTTTGATTTAGATTTTTTCATTTTTGTGATTTAGAAAAAGCTTTTTGAGCCTAAATCTAGTTCTTCATCTAATTCAGCCTTTTTCATAGGGCCAGGTGTCTGCTAGTGATAGATATGTTTCACCTACAAAATCAGCTAGTTGAAAGGAATGATCTAAATTAGGGGTCTTCAACGTTTTCTAGGCCAAGGACCCCAAACTGATGGCGAGATTAGGGCGGCCATTTCTATAGCAACAAAAAGGAGGACATTGTGCGGCATATCAATAAATTACTACGGTGTACATAAGAATTCGGTAAACTCACATTTATGGCACAATTCTTAGTAGTTTAAAGAGGATGCTTGTGTAGCTAAATAAAACAAAATATTAAAGAATTGGTTCCCAGCATTTTTATTTATTCAAAACTTTGTGGTGTTTAAAGATTCTGCTCAGTGGTCACTTTTTAAAGTGCAGAATACCACAAAGCATAAAATGTGTGGACTTAAACGTAAAAAAAAATCTTTTTATCAAGAAACATTCATAATAAAATAGCCTAATATTTTTTTAAACAACAAAAGAGACAAATTCAACTGCTCTAAAAGTATAGCTTTATTTTGAAGAGCCTCAGTCTTTTGTGATGTTTTATAGTATAGTCCACCTTGCAGCTCTGCACAAGCTATTTTAGCATCCAGCGACAAAACTTAATGTAAAAGCCAACATTGAAGAGTTCGCTGATGCACGTTTATTACTTTTATGTTAATCCGTACTCGCCTGCCGTTCAATTGCAGCTTTTCCTCGACTGCTGATGCCCATGAATGAATCTCCACTACCTTTGGTCATAAATTCACGCTCTTTTGTCCATTCTGGGTTAAACGACATTCTGGTTTTGACAGAAAGCTAACTGTAATACTGCATCAGTAAATCCGATCATTGTTTACTTTTGTAACCAATGACAAGCAGATCTTTATCTGACACGCCGCCACTCTTAGCCAATCATCTGTTAGATCAGATAGTGGTGCATTTTTGATGATTGGATATTGTGCTGCAGCCCAGCAAAAAAATAAAATAAAATAAAAATCTGCTCTAAAAGCCTAGTGCCTCATAAAGGAGGACAAATACACGTCCGGCTGGATGTGGCGCCGAACCGATCCATGGGTGTGACTGTGGTCTATTATTATTATTGTTATTTCTGGACAGATTTTGAGAACCTGCTGTTTATTGCCTCTCAGGCGGCAGCAGTCAGCTGGAGTCGGTGGGTGAGGACGACGAGCTGCTTGTGGAGAGCATTATCTGTGGCATCGAGGCGGCAGAGAAACCTCCAACCGGCCGACGGAAACACTCCTTACCTCAGCAGCTGGACGCCACTGGAGTCAGACAGGTAACCCAGTCTCTTACCTACCAGCAGGTGGAGATGTTAGGAGGGACATCAAAGCTCTGCTTCCCTTCCTGAGGATCAGTTGGGCTCTAGGTCCCTGTGGAACAGGGGTGGGCAGTTCCAGTTCCTGGGGACCTCCACAACCTGTCAACCTAAATCTGGATCTCTTTAAGTCTCTTATAGGGGTAACTCTCAAAACTGAAATATGCCCACATAGCAACACCTCCCTCCTGCCATCTTCCAGCAGTGACGTCACGGTGCGGTAAGCCTAGCGCCATTCTCCCCGCTTTCCAAGCTAAATCAATGGGAACTACTAGACACATCTGCAATCAACAACAATTATTGAAGATTTCCAGAGGACTTCACCATTGAAATTCACCAGAGCTATAGTGAAACTGACAATGCCCACGTGCATGGCAGTGAAAAAAAGAGTTATTCCACCTTTCTGATTCCTGATCCTCCACGGACGGGTTGGTCGTTGGATCGCCAACTTGAAGAGGGAGGATTTGCCATCGAACTTCTGGCCAGAGAAAAAACCCGTAATATGTAGCCAACATTTGGAAGAAGAATGTTTTCAAGATGACTTGGATAATAGCGCGTTGTGACAAACACCAGATACAGCACTGGGACTTGATCAACAGCCGATACCGCACCGTGACGTCACAAACCAGTAGGTGGCAGTAGTGTTCTTTGACAAACATGGATGCCTCCAGTAAAGCACATTCACATGAAAATTACTCTGAATTAAAAACAATAATAATTAATTGAACAGTTTGTAATAATTTCATATTTAAAGTCATTTCAGAAATTTAAATTCTGAAATTGACCGGACTTTTCCTTTAACAAAGACAAATGAAAGTGTCAGATGTGTAGATGCAGGAATCCCATCTAGAGATCAACAACCAGGTGGAGACCAGGTGTAATTTGGAGCAAAAGTTCAGACTCAGAACTCATGGAGAGAGTCGTGACTGCATCAACAAATGGATGAATATTAATGTATCTAAAGGTCTTTATATTCATCTCCTTCTTAGGAATACCAGATAATTAAGAAGTCGGCCCGCTCCCTGAGCACCATTCAGGTGGAGTCTCCATGGCGACTGGCCCAGCCGTCCATTATCTCCAGCATAGTGCTGATGAAAGGCCAGGGGAAGGTGAGTGCTCTCCTCAGACACATATGCATATCTAAGACTGGGTGCAGGTCAGCCCTGTGGCACTCTGCTCTACGTGTGAGATCCTTTCATTTTCTGTCTTTTCCTTTCGGATGCACGCGGTCACGGTGAAGATGTGCAGGCGATGAGTCAGAGATTACATTCAGCATGATGCTGAAGCCACTGTCAGGGTCGCTTATGGCGCTGTTTCTCAACCTGTTTTGACTTGTCTACCCCTTTGGGCATTTTATCTTACCATGAGTGCCCCTCTCATTTAAAAGTAATGATAATCGCCCAATAGTGGAACGTACAATAACTGAAATAAGGCTATTTTATTCAATGATGGGAGTAATGGGGTTGAAAGTAACGGCGTTACTAACGCCATTACCTTTTTTTAGTAACGAGTAATCTAACTAATTACTTTGACTGTGACTATAATTCAGTTACCATTGCAGACACCCCGTTACTGCGCGTTACTCAGGTCGCACAATTAACCTTTTTTCATGATAGGACTCGTGCGCGCGTCATAAGAGAGGGGAGGATGAGAATGGCTGATGTATAGTGAGATTCCGTCTGTCAGTTGGGTAGGTGGATGTTTCCGCTGGTGGGTGTTAACGTACAGCACACACAGAGAGATGGAGAGTGAGGAGGACTCCAGCAGCAAAACAGCGTTTCCCAGATAGAAATACCGGTGTTACGTCGAGCTGCGTTTCACAATCTGATACAGTTTCCCCGGCATCTCCGCACAGCGCAGGAGGCATGATTCACCGCGTAAGCGGCGGGAAACGCGCATGCTCGCTAAAGGCGCGTAACAGCCGCCCTGTGCTTGCGCCACTGGGGAACTACGGAGAGCGTGAACAAGCAGATGTTAGCCTATATGGAGAAAGGGAGAAATCGGGATGGATGGATGGATGTTGCAGTATCTATAACAACCCAAACACACAGGATTTCAGAATTAGACATCCCCAGTTATTAATTTCATATACTCACCAGATCTGAACGCCCTGTTAAAAAACTTCACACCCATGAGTAGAGGTAATGCAGCCTGATGATATTTACACTGCATCAGATACCGTTCCCCCATGTTAAGCAGGAGTAACGCTATCTGATGGGGTTTATAAGCCCATTAGATAGCGTTCCACCCTGATGTCATTTACGTTTAGTTGCAATAAATGCAAAACTCTCTGCAGGTTCTTGTCTTTGTCGTCCGCTCTATTCAGCTGGCTTTGGAAACACACGGCGAGAAGGTGGGGGCCGGGTGGTGAGGGTTACGGGGGCGAGAAAAGCAAAAGTAACGCAATAGTTACTTTTACTAGTAACTAGTTACTTTTATTGTGGAGTAACTGAGTTAGTAACTTAGTTACTAACTTAGTTACTTTTTGGGAGAAGTAACTAGTAACTATAACTAATTACTTTTTCAAAGTAACGTGCCCAACACTGATTTTATTTAATCTTTTAATTTATTATGTTATTCTTTTCATCTAAAAAAAAAAACAACAAACATGTATGTAAACATACATGTAAACAAATATGTTGCCTGGAAGTTAATAATAATTGGAATAAATACAAAATAAGGTTCTATTATAAACCTGTATTTGTAGTACTGGAGCTCCTCTGAATAACTCCATTTAATCACATTTAAACTTGATGAAATGGAAACAAATTGCAGAACAAACATTTTTTTTATCAAGACACCTGAGCTGCTTTGATGAGCTCCATGTGAAAAACAGCCAATCCCAGCCTGTTCTCCACATCCAGTCTGTTCCTCTGCTTGGTTTGGATGTGAGTCAAAGCTGAGCTCAAAAACAGTAGAAAAAATTATTTTTTTGGTTGATAAAAGCTTGTTTCATTTTTCAATTTGGTCCTCAGAAAGCAGAACAGATCCCTAATTTATTTTACTACCTAAGAAATTAGTTATTTTCATGTAGCCCTTACCAATGTACTCGCGGACCACTAGGGGTACAAGTACCCCCGGTTGGGATACACTTTCTTAGGGGACCAGTTAGGTTTCAGAGCAACGTTTGAGCCACGCCCACATGTTTAAAAAAGAGGTCCAGGAACCCTAAGATTGGTGGAGAGATGGAGAAAATAAAATATACATCCATCCATCCATTATCTGACACGCTTGTCCCAATTGGGGTGGCGAGGGCTGCTGGTGTCTATCTCCAGCTGTCTGCGGGCAAGAGGCGGGATCCACCCTGGGCAGGTCGCCAGTCCATCGCAGGATGTTACTGATCATCATTTTTATTATGTTGATTAGAAAGAAATGTATTTCAGATATTATGAATTCATATTCAGTCAAGCTAATTAATGTAAAAATATATAATATAGCAAGATCTGTAAGTAAATGTTTCCATCTTTAGAGGATTTTCGTTTTAAATGTTGATGCTTTTAGTGTACATAATAAAATAACTCCACACTTATCAGGTCCTTATAGTTTAAGGAATATTTCAGATGTTGTTATGTTTGATAAAACAAAATGGAATCAAAAAAAGTAAATCAATGTGTTGGATTGACTTTGATTTAAGAGATAAATGTTATAGTTTTATTTCCTTTTTTCAAAATAAAATTTCATAAACTCCTTGCAGTGCCGCCCTGCTCCAGTAGGGGTCACCGGGCTAATGTTGAACATCTCTGGTTCAGTCCAGTATGCGTTTGTATCCCATTAGGGAGTCATGGTGACTTGTTTTGGAGACCAGGAGGGTCATTATAAAAAAAAAAAATATGAATCTTTAAACATTTAAATCAATAACTTTGAAAGTGTTTTCTAATTGCACATTTTTAATTGCCTTTATTTAATACTGCTATTTAAAAATGTGTTTTCAACTCCTGTTTCCAAATGGAATTCATAAAGCTGATTATAAGTACCTTTCCTAATCACATATTTAAAAAGGTAATTCCTTATTCTACGTTCAGACCGCATGAAGCAGAAGCAGAAACGTGCACGCTGCTTCATTTCTGATGCTTGTAGAAGTTAAGTTCTGAAGCATCTTTGCTGCGCGGTCTGATGCGCGTTGGGAGGAGCTACCCTATCCTTTCTTTGCCTGCAACAATGGCAGCTATATTTGCTGTTATCAGTGGTTAAAAAGTAGTTTTAATATATTTTTAAGTGAGAAAGTCCACCTTAAAACTTTATCTGTGTAGTCAGTTCATCAACATTATGATCCTGCCTTCAAATAATATCTGGAAACCCCCGTACATCGGTGGTGCGCTGTTACTGGGAATCCCCTTCAACAGCAGCCTCAGGCCCGGTCGCCTCTTCACGGTTTTTCCGCTACTGTTCGCTGCGGCTGGAAGGGCGTTTTTCACAAACGTAATCCAGACGGCAGGCACCAGAATAATACAAGAGAACATAATTTACTGGCAGGTTTCGACATTTTAGGTTAATTTAGGCGTTAAACTGTTTCAGAGGAGTGATCATAGCGCTCTGCATTAGCAGTGCTGTGTCTGACTCCCTGCCAGCTCCCACTTCAGCTTTTCTGATTGGTTGATGCGGCTCATCGAGCAGCAAAAGTTCAATTTTTCCAACTAACAGCTGCTGCTTTTGCAGCCTGTCACGCGTAGCAGATGCTCAGAAGCTCGTGAGGCTTGATGCAAACATTGACTTTGCATGTACTGTAAACTAGCTGCTTCTGCTGCCTCTGCTGCTCTCGGTCTGAACGTAGCATTATTCCGTTTCCATTTGTCTTTTTCACATCGCATTTTCTCTATTTCTTTTTACTCCCCGGTTTTCGGTAAGCACAGGGATCAGAAGGGTCCCGGAAAAGGTGATTCTACTGGTCCTCTATAGAATCAAATCATTTTAAATAATTTCTACTCAATAAATCCAGAACCATGCGATTCTGCTGGGATCGTCTGGATTCAAACAATTAGTTTAGATGTTTTAACACCAAAAACAAAGACAAGTTATGCTGATCTGGAATTCTGCAGCACGGTCTGATCCAGAGATGAGACGGGGTTCTGTCTCAGGTTTTCTGGTCTCTGTTTGGGTTCTGGTTATTCTATTTGGAGTCCTTTTTTCCAGGCTAACACTGGGATGTCTTTCCTGCAGGGCCTCGGGTTCAGTATCGTCGGAGGCCAGGACTCGGCTCGTGGGCAGATGGGCATTTTTGTCAAAACCATTTTCCCCTATGGAGCAGCAGCGGCTGACGGGCGACTGAAAGAAGGTAACTCTTCCTCCTCACACACTGAACCAACGAGGGTTTTAGGAGCAAATTCCACCTGAATTTACATCTGTGAATTAAAGTAAGCAGAGCTCCTAAACTATTAAACGCAAATACAATTGTTTGTATTTGTATGACATAAAGGCGTTGGGGAATACTTTTCAGGTGGAACAACTATTTTAAATGTCATAATGTCTGATTTATTGATGATTAAACAAAGAAAAAATGAAAAATATTTAGACTCCGCAAAACACCATGGAACCCCATTTGCAACTGTGGATGAACCTCTTTCTAGATCCACATATTGATTATAAGTCAAGCAAATTTGGACTGAATAAGTTGAAGCATGTTTGGTCCACAAAGGTTTTAGTGAGCAGTGTGCTAGGAGGAAATGGGATGTTGGCACAGTGGTGCTGAAAGTAAAAAAATTCATTTTTCCACTCATAAAAGGGAATCTGGTCAGAAAAATATGCTGATTTCCATTATCGGAGACCTTCTGCATAAGACAAATTCTTTGCTCCTAATATTTAGCCATGTTTCATTGAAATTTACCAATAATATCACCAAACTGAATAGAAAATAAGAATAAAAGAGCAAGCTTATGTAACGCATGCCGTTTACATCACCTGAAATGGTCGCACAATGACCTCCGACCCCTCCTTGGAAAGGTCTGACCCTCTAGTTTCATATGATACTGGCCATTAGGGGGCGGGGCTAAAAATTAAAACCTGCTGTTGCATTACTCTCGCAGTCACACGCCAGGTGGAATTTTAAATCTCATTTTATGTGTTTACACAGCTATAAAACAAAAAATACTTCTGAAAAAATAATTTTGAAACGTGTTTTAGAAATGTTAAAGCCCCATTTGAAAGGCGTGTGGATGAAACTCCATGTGACTCTGTTTTGACCATTTCTATAAATAGATAAACATGAGCAGGAGTCAGTTGGGCCCTGAACCGGCCCGCGGGCTCAAGGGGTTAAAGGTGTCGTGGTCTTTTCTGATCAATCTGTTTTTCCCGCACTAACTGCGGTAGGTTGGCTGACGGCTCCGTCCAGACATGTCCTTCAGGAGCAAAGAGGAGAGAGAGGCGGAGCTAAAACTCCTGATGAACCTAAAGTCTATTGGTCAAAGATGTAGGCCTGAGTCTCTGATTGGTTAGGCTGTAGAGGCTAAGGGAGGGGCTACAGTAAAACGATATTTATTAGAGATTATCTGGTTTAACTCATAGATCAGAGTCAAATACTCTATTAAACTAGTATTTTGACAATAAAAACTTAAAAGACATCTTTGTAAGAAAATACTTATGTTTATTTGGAGTTCAAACTTAGATTTAGAGCTGATATTTGTCTGAGCTTTTTAACTTTAATAAAACCACCAAATAATGACTTAATACTGCTGGTATTAACAGTGTTTAGCTGAACAGAAAACTGCAAAGTAAACAAAGTTCACCTGATTGAAACTAAAGGTCGTTTGTTTCTGACTGATTTGGGATATTGGCTTGGATTTAATAACTGATGAATTAGTGAGGGACTGGACCTGCTCCCCCTGGGATTAGTTTATGGTTTGGTAGAACAATCTTTCTGTTTATAAAGTATATCTCCATCATGCTGTCTTCACATGTTTGGTTTTATATAAAAAAATAAAAAAATCCAGGATCAAAACCTGACAGAGAGACGGTGGAATGAACATAGAATATGATCAGAGATGCATTTCAGACAGAATAAATTTGAGAGTTTTATTTCAGGGTTTTAGATGTTTGGATTTAAAGCTCAAACATGAAGTTTAAAAAAAAGGTTAGCATCATATCCAATATAAACTCTGCAGCTTCTGTCTGACCTGCATCATAGAGGATGTGTTTAATTGTCTTATTCAGCTCATGCTTCCCAGCTGCTTTATTTAACATCTATTCTCTCCCTCTTGAACAAACACAGAAATATTAAAGGAATAGTACACCCAAAACATGATTAGCCTTCATTTTCTACTCACCCCCATGCTGAACAACACTCTGGAGTACTTTTTTGATATCTCAAATGCATCTGGAGATCTGGGAGGCTTCTTGCTGTCTGCTGACATTCAAATAATGGAGGTCTATGGCGCCCGAGGCAGAAAGGTCCATAAAAGTCCACAAAAAACGTGTCAATATTCCTCCATACTGCTCGTCCAATGTATTCCAAGTGTCCTGAGTGGGTAGCATCCATAATTTACTCGAAACGAAGTCATTTAGAATGTTTTTAGAGCATAAACAGTAGTGTATAGGATTTCCTAAAAGCACGTTCACGACGCTACGGAAACCGCGGCAGACCAAACCAGATGAAAGTGCGCATTCAGCGTCTGCTCTGCCGATAATGCAAGCGTAGAAAAAGAAATGTGCTGTTTACCTGTGCAAAGAAAGAAACAACGAAAGAAAAATGTCTGAGGACTTCAGTGTTGAGGAAGAGCATGAGTTCTTTGCCGAGCTGAATGCGCACTTTCATCTGGTTTGGTCTGCTGCGGTTTCCGTAGACTCGTGAACGCGCTTTCAGGAAATCCTATACACTACTGTTTATGCTCTAAAAACATTCTAAATGACTTCGTTTCGAGTAAATTCTGGATGCTACCCACTCAGGACACTTGGAATACATTGGACGAGCAGTATGGAGGAATATTGACACGTTTTTTGTGGACTTTTATGGACCTTTCTGCCTCGGGCGCCATAGACCTCCAATATTTGAATGTCAGCAGACAGCAAGAAGCCTCCCAGATCTCCAGATGCATTTGAGATATCAAAAAAGTACTCCAGAGTGTTGTTCAGCATGGGGGTGAGTAGAAAATGAAGGCTAATCATGTTTTGGGTGTACTATTCCTTTAAGCGGAATAACATCAGAATAAGGCAGGGGCTCATGTTGAGGTTTTATCCAGACCTGGGGCCCCCGCAAATCTGACAAAATTAGTGTCAAACGTTTGTGCAGCAACAATTTTTGTTTGTGCCGCTATCATTTTAAAGATATAAAGAAATATTTCTAGAGGTCATCAAAGGTCAACCAGCCCCCCCTCACCTTCTTCAAATCAGACGAAATGGGTGTCAATTAATTCAGCTCCGTTTGTGCAGCAAAACGTTTCGTTTGTTCCGCTATAATTTTTTTACAGTTTAAAATTATATAATCATAGGTTAGCAACTTATAATTTATATGAAATTTAGAGTTTCAGAACGAACAAATGTTCACTGACCTTTGATGGCTTCTACAAACAATTATTGATATAATTAAAATGATAGCAGTACAAAAAATGTATATATTTTAAAATATGCATTTTTAAATTTTTTATATATTTTAAATATTTTATATTTAAAATTAATTTTAAAATTTTATATTTTTGTATGGCAAAAATTGTCATTTGTACTGCTATAATTTTAATGATATTAATAATATTTTGTAGAGGTCATCAAAGGTCAGTTAACATCTGTTTTTGCTGCACAAACGAAGCCGAGTTAATTGACCCCCACTTTGCCTCATTTGAAGAAGGTGGGGGGGGGCTGGTTGACCTTTGATGACCTCTAGAAATATTTCTGTATATCTTTAAAATGATAGCGGCACAAATGAAAATTTTTGCTGCACAAACGTTTGACACAAATTTTGTCAGATTTAAAGAAGGTGTGTGTGTGTGTGTGTGGGGGGGGGGGGGGGGGGGGGTCAACTTCACTCAGGTTTCAAATTATAGTAATCTGTCCTTAACTCATAAAAAAAACATCAAATATGTAAAATAAAACATTTGAAATTGTATAAAATATTACTGTTTTTTCAATCTGGATGATAGAAAGTTGGACTTTGAAAGAGTTTAGGTTGCATTTACCCTTTCATGTGTTCGAACAGTTATTAGTTACTGTAAAATACTTTAGTGTATTAATCCTGATACCTGTGTGGGGTTACAGGGTTTAATGATGCCAAAGTCAATTCATGAATTAAATCTTTAGTTGATCTCTAGAAGGGTCTGATTGTTAGATTCGTCTCTAAACTGAGCTACATAATTAAGGCGGAACAGGTCAAAGGAACAAAGATTCATCCACAGTGTATCTGTGCTTAAAACCTGTGAGTTGATTCATCATAAAGTTAAACCTTCTCTGCAGCTGAAAACTCAGAAATGTTTCTGCTCAGGTGAATCAGCTCGGCTTTACTTTAGGATTGAGTTATAAACCTTTAGTAGAGATATAATAATGAGCCTTTTTTTGACAGGAGATGAGATTTTGGAGGTAAACGGAGAGTCGCTCCAAGGACTCACTCACCAACAGGCCATCCAGACCTTCAAGGTGAGCTTCAGCTCCACTGATGTTCAAATGGTTGATGCTTAGGTTGTCATTTTTCGGTTAGTGCTCAGTTTTTAAATAAAGTTTTGAATGGACATTTCAGGCCATGTGTAAAAATCTCAGTCTGTTGCTTTTTCACCATTTTAATCGACATTTTCTCCATATTTCCAACAGCATTTGAAAAGAGGCGTTGTGACCCTCACGATTCGCACCCGTCTGCGGAGTCCCAGTCTAACTCCATGTGCAACGCCAACCCTTCCCAGTCGCTTCAGCTCCCCCAGTTCTTACACCAGTGAGGGCGCCCCTTCGCCAACAGGCCTGGAAGAGGCTGACGGCCTCAAGGGTCCTGGCTTGGGTCCAAAAGACTTTGTCATAATGGAGGTTACTCTTAATAAAGGTGAGAATATAAGGACGTTATTGTTGCAATGTTATTTTGCAGTGGGATTCGAAGTGTGAGGACATTTGTGTGTTTGTACAAGAATCTGCAATGTGTAAAATAAGTTGTGTGTAATCTGATTTGCAAATGTAAAAAAATCCACAAATCTGTATTTGGATCTACTAATGTTTGCCAAGATTTGGAAAATTTGTACTAAGATTTCCAAATACGTAATGAGATCTAAAAATGTGTAGATCAGTATGTAAACACTCAGACATTTAAGTCTGAAGGATTTTCGCTTCAATATCCAGAAATACAGACGAATCATCGGTTAGAAGTCGGTTTCTCGGTTGGCTCTCTTTATACACGTATTTTTTGCAACACTTCTGCCGTGTGAGATCTGCAAATGCATAGAGAGGATTCATTTGTGTAATATCTCAGTACCGAGTGGGGGCTCCTGGGCTCACTTGCTCACAGGCTGCAGGAGTTCAGCACAACTTTCTGCACCTACACCCACCTACACCTAACCTGACTCTGCCAGATGGATTTTCTCCGCATATCCATCTGGAAACCTTCCGTTGAAGTAATTTTGAGAAGGGGCGAAAACACTGGTTAGCTGATTGGCCTATGTTGGTGATAGACGGGCCAAATAAACCAATCAGATCAACGAAGCATATGACGTACTAACAGAGCGACGACGAAAACACAACCACAAGCCTAGCTGCTCTTTCCGAAACCAGTTGGGAGAAGAGCAAAAACATCTTTTCCTCTGAGAAAAGCCTTCAGAGCAGTGTTTTGCTCTTCTTTCAGTGAAGAAATACTCTGTAATTCCGATAAAACTTGCTCGATAGCCACGCTAACGCTAGTTTCATCGGCTGAAGCCGCCATGTTCTTTAGACTGAACTGTCGCGCTTCTCGTTGCGTCACACCTCAACCCGCCTCAAAGCCAACGCTGATTGGACGTTCGTTTGGTGAACGGCTCCAAATTTTCTTTAACGGAGAGTCTCCAGACTAATCTGCGAGTGAAACCTTGAAAGCTCGCGAGATCGGGATGGTCTCACGAGGCTAGCAAGCAACAATGATTATAATGGCTGCAGAGGCGCCATATGAGAAGGAAAGGTTAGGACTAAAATTCTAGGGTGTTCTTTGGTGGTTGGCTTTTCTTTCAGTGAAGAAAACTGTGTAATTCCGATAAAACTTGCTCGATAGCCACGCTAACGCTAGTTTCATCGGCTGAAGCCGCTATGTTCTTTAGAACAGGCATCGCCAAACTCGGTCCTCAAGGCGCCCTGTCCTGCAGGTTTTAGAGGTTTCTCTGCTTCAGCACAGCAGGTTATAATGATTGCAGTAGACCAAAACCCTGTTAATCAGCTTTCAATTAAAATCAGCTGTGCTGGAGCAAGGAAACCTCTAAAACCTGCAGGACAGGGGGCCTTGAGGACAGAGGGATGCCTGCTTTAGACTGAACTGTCGTGCTTCTCGTTGCGTCACACCTCAACCCGCCTCAAAGCCAACGCTGATTGGACGTTCGTTTGGTGAACGGCTCCAAATTTTCTTTAAGGGAGAGTCTCCAGACTGATCTGCGATTGAAACCTTGAAAGCTCGCGAGATCTACACCCACCCGTGGCAGAAAAAAAAAGGAAGGAAGGAAGGAAGGAAGACACAGCCTGTGAGCAAGTGAGCCTGTGAGCCTACGCTCAGGGCAGCAAACCCAATATTACACATACAAATCTTCTCTATGCATCTAAGCAGGAGAGGAAGGAAGGAAGGAAGGAAGGAAGGAAGGAAGGAAGGAAGGAAGGAAGGAAGGAAGGAAGGAAGGAAGGAAGGAAGGAAGGAAGGAAGGAAGGAAGGAAGAAGGAAGGAAGGAAGGAAGGAAGGAAGGAAGGAAGGAAGGAAGGAAGGAAGGAATCTGTTAATCATCAACATATTTGGTAGAAAACTGAGCGCTACAGTAGATCCTTCCTACCTACAGCTATCAACATATACAACTTAAAAAAAACAACTGAGTTATAACAACATTCAATTTCCTTTTCGGGATCAAAAAATTGTATTTGAAATGAATTGAATAAACCCGCACCGTTCATAGTGGCCACCACCCCCACCTATTTAGTTTTTCAGATCAACGTACAAAAGATTAATCTAAAAGGGGATTAGTTTTTCGTCGTTCTAAAAGTTTATGATATGCAATATTTCTTCCTCAGCTGCTGAGCGTCCTGTCACACCTTGACGATTTAGCTGCATAAGCCTGACGTTCCAGAATCTTCTAAATCACTGGCATACGCTGAACTTTCTATGTAAATTTTCAAGTTTGGGAGTATGCATAAAGTATTCCAAAAGAGTCCAGAACTTCTGTCCAACAACAGCCTAACTTATGCATAACGCACGGCACCGTAATGCCTATGAAATGTCACAAGCCAGTGTCCTAAAAGGGGCAGCGATGCAACCGGAGGTGCCTGGCCTTCATAAGATGATGTCTTTGATAGCTGTCAACTAGAGGTGTAAATCACATCCATCCTGGCAATTGAAATAAATCAATTGAAATAAATCAATTAAAGCTGTAATATCGTTATGCATTTAAGAAACAACAGCAAATAACAGAAGTAGAAAAGTTGCATCAAAAACTACTGCAAAAATCCTGCACAAAATCAGTGCGATGAGTGCAATTCAATGCCTCGGCTACAGACGTCCCGCCCCCCTCTGCAGACGCTCTGCTGCACCTCTCCAAAATTGTAGCTGACCGCAGACAGGAGGCCGGCTTGTTTTGTTTTTATGACCGAAATTGCGGAAAACAACTCGTGAAGTTTGACCCGCTAGAAGAGCGAGCTGCGCAAGAACGCTGGGACCCTTTTTCCACCTGGATCTCCGCTCTTTTTGGCCCTCATGTCCCTCCGTCGTCGGACTAAACTCGCCCCCACTTCCTCGCCACCTCGGCCGTATCTAGACCCACAGTGTGTAGCTCAGACCACGCTTCAATATTGAGCATAATTTAAAAATGTCTGTGTCAAGCTCACTGCAACACACTGCTGTAAGAGTATAACCAGGAAGCGAGGTAGGAGGGCAAAATAGGTTTAGCGCCACCGCTGCACGGGAGGGAGAATTACGCCCAGGAGCAAATGGAAAAAAATAGACCGGAGGAAAAAAAAAACATGAATCGATTCTCTTGTGGACGTGTCGATGCATCGATACAAAACCATTAATATTTACACCCCTACTGTCAACTGCCCGCCCAAAAAAAAAAGAAATAAACAGATAAAAAAGAAAGAAAGAAAGAAGGATTTTGGTGGCAGCAGATTCAGCGTCATGTCTGCTAGGAAGCTTGTTGGCAGTGGGCATGAACGCAGGGAGGACCCATCACACTCACCTTCTGGCTCACCCAATGATGGGGATGAAGTCTTGTCAACCCCCTTTATACCAAAACGCTGCCAATACGCCATTTTACAGTAGCTGGAAGTTAGAAACACGTTCAGCGCTCGTCTAGAACTCGTCAGATACGTTGATGCGTTGGAGAGAAGTTCTTGATGAGTTATGCACAAGTTACTCATAGGTTTAGGATACGCTAGACACCAAGACTTGTGAGTAACTTACACCTAATGTATGTCAACGATCAGATATCTTACCTGTCTACTAGCCGTATGTCTACTTGTTTCAGCGTGTTTCAACGTACCCATAACTTGTTGTTAGGTTTATTCAATGATGATTATAAAGTTAATGTGTGCATATAAAACATTGAAGAAATAAGATGCTACATTCTGTCCTGTGATTCAGTCAGGAGGGGTAATTCTGTTTATTTCAGGGTCATTTCACTTTATGGCCTGCCTCCAGCCAGTTGGTCATAAAGCAGGGTCATGCTGTTTTATGACCTGCATCCAGCTAGATAATCATTACAGGGTCTTCTGTCCTAAGACCCACCCATTTGCTTGTGATCTGTTAATAAAAGACTCTGCTGTTCTGGTAGGGGGCAGAAAGGTGCTGAAATGTGAGCAGGCAGCATTTCTCCTCCTGCAGGAAGCTGTGTTTGAAAATCCCTTGGTGTGTCAGATTCATTTTTTGTCCTATATGAACTCACAACTTTTTTGAAGCTAACACTTATCCAACGTATCCCAGCATTTTTGCCAGATTTTCCATACGTCAGGAATACGCTGGTCTAAATCATCAAGGTGTGACAAGGGCTTAAAGGAATAGTACACCCAAAACATGATTAGCCCTCATTTTCTACTCACCCCCATGCTGAACAACACTCTGGAGTACTTTTTTGATATCTCAAATGCATCTGGAGATCTGGGAGGCTTCTTGCTGTCTGCTGACATTCAAATAATGGAGGTCTATGGTGCCCGAGACAGAAAGGTCCATAAAAGTCCACAAAAAACGTGTCAATATTCCTCCATACTGCTCTTCCAATGTATTCCAAGTGTCCTGAGTGGGTAGCGTCCATAATTTACTCGAAACTAAGTCATTTAGAATGTTTTTAGAGCATAAACAGTAGTGTATAGGATTTCCTAAAAGCGCGTTCACGAGTCTACGGAAACCGCGGCAGACCAAACCAGATGAAAGTGCGCATTCAGCTCGGCAAAGAACTCATGCTTTTCTTCAACACTGAAGTCCTCAGACATTTTTCTTTCGTTGTTTCTTTCTTTGCACAGGTAAACAGCACATTTCTTTTTCTACGCTTGCATTATCGGCAGAGCAGACGCTGAATGCGCACTTTCATCTGGTTTGGTCTGCCGGCTTCCGTAGCATCGTGAACGCGCTTTTAGGAAATCCTATACACTACTGTTTATGCTCTAAAAACATCCTAAATGACTTTGTTTCGAGTAAATTATGGATGCTACCCACTCAGGACACTTGGAATACATTGGACGAGCAGTATGGAGGAATATTGACACGTTTTTTGTGGACTTTTATGAACCTTTCTGCCTCGGGCACCATAGACCTCCATTATTTGAATGTCAGCAGACAGCAAGAAGCCTCCCAGATCTCCAGATGCATTTGAGATATCAAAAAAGTACTCCACAGTGTTGTTCAGCATGGGGGTGAGTAGAAAATGAAGGCTAATCATGTTTTGGGTGTACTATTCCTTTAAAGTAACATTCCTAAAGGATTACAACACTATTTGGACCCAGTTTTCACATTGCACTGTAAATCATGAGCAGGTTCAACTCTAGCAATATGATTATCATTATTTCAGAAGCTGGAGTTGGTCTCGGGATTGGAGTTTGTTGCCTGACGCCTGAAAACTCTGCTCCTGGTATCTACATCCACAGCCTGGCTCTGGGATCTATTGCCAAGATCGATGGAAGGCTCAGGTACGCCGTCTGGGTTTGATTTTATGGGTAAAGCTCCCGTGGCGGCGCTGTCCTGACCCCTGCTCTCTGTGTGCAGGCGTGGAGACCAGATTCTGGAGGTGGACCAAGTCAGTCTTCGTCACGCTGCGCTCAGTGAGGCGTATGCAATTCTCAGTGAATGTGGTCCCGGACCAGTCAGTCTTATTATAAGCAGACATCCAGACCCCAAGGTGAGACCATCCCTAACTGCTGACAGGCTTAGACTTTACATCTAGCTTAAATATGTTTCTACTTTATGAGGAAAGTTTGATATCAGGCGGTGTCAAAAAGAGTGAAACATGTAAAGCTAATGCTTCCTACTTGCTTAAACTCTGCTTAAATATGGAGCATAAAGACAATTTACTGGCTGTAAACATTAGTTATTAGAATCTTTTTTTTTTTTTTTTACGGCACTAGTGGCTCGTTTTTTTTCGACAGTAGGCTGACAGGAAAGGGGGAATGAGAGAGGGGGAGAAACATGCGCGAAAGGACCACAGGCTGGATTGGAACCCGGGTTTCTCGCATCGAGGAATAAGGCCTCCATACATGGGTCGTGTACGCCAACCACCAAAGAACACCCTAGAATTTTAGTCCTAACCTTTCCTTCTCATATGGCGCCTCTGCAGCCATTATAATCATTGTTGCTTGCTAGCCTCGTGAGACCATCCTGATCTCGCGAGCTTTCAAGGTTTCACTTGCAGATCAGTCTGGAGACTCTCCGTTAAAGAAAATTTGGAGCCGTTCACCAAACGAACGTCCAATCAGCGTTGGCTTTGAGGCGGGTTGAGGTGTGACGCAACGAGAAGCGCGACAGCTCAGTCTAAAGAACATGGCGGCTTCAGCCGATTAAACTAGCTTTAGCGTGGCTATCGAGCAAGTTTTATCGGAATTACAGAGTATTTCTTCACTGAAAGAAGAGCAAAACACTGCTCTGGAGGCTTTTCTCAGAGGAAAAGATGGTTTTGCTCTTCTCCCGACTGGTTTCGGCAAGAGTAGCCTGGCTGTTAGTACGTGATATGCTTCGTTGATCTGATTGGTTTATTTTGCCCGTCTATCACCAACATAGGCCAATCAGCTAACCAGTATTTTCACCCCTTCCCAAAATTACTTCAACAGAAGGTTTCCAGATGTATATGCGGAGCAAATCCATCTGGCGGAGTGAGATTAGTTGCTTGCAGCTCAGGGCTGTGATGAATGAACAGAACCGAATTCAACCCGATTCGATTTTGGCCGCATCATGTCAGTACATATACAGAAATCATATTTAGAAAATGAAAAACACAGGAGAGGGACCTCCTCCGGACAAGACTTGGCTGTACATCTACACCTTATGGACAAAGGACATTCGTTTGAGGACCAGAATGTTCATTTTGGACAAAAAAGACAGGTGGTTTGAAAGGAGCGTGAAGGAATCCATCTATGTTAAAAAAGAAAAACCAACCTTAAACCTTCTCACTATGATTAAAACCCCCACCCCTTTACAGGGGAACAGAAGACCTCGCCTCTTCAGAAAGGCCAACAATTCCCTTTAACGACATTGTTTCAGAGACATAGACAGGTATCTATGTTTGTCAGGTATCGACATCGACAAATAAGGCTTTGTTTTTGGTCCACTGTATTAAGCCTCGACCTCAACGCTATTTCTGACATTTTGGATTGAAAAATCTTCCTGGATGGGAAGCAAAATGTCTTCAGTTTTGGAAACAAAGTCCAGTGGATTGTTTTTTTGGAATAGATGTGAAAGAACATGAAGGTTAGCTATTACTCACATATCAATTACTGGGCTCTAGTTATTATTGTAGGTCATATGAATAATTAAATATTAAATGCACCAATATTAGCAACAAACATAGCATCTCTGCACCAAATCTGCTCACCTATTGTCATATATGACTCCTTACAATTTCTGGATTTTAATCAAAACGTATCCATGAAAAGTAAATGGGTTTTAAATGCAATTTTTAAATGAATTCCACATCATTTCTGGACCAGCCTGTTTTAATTTGTTTTTTAATGTGAATTACTGAGGTTCTCACCAACATCTGGAGGGGTGTTATGTCCGTAGAGACATTACAACTAGATTAAATTAGATAATAATTTTACCTTCTGTACCTGAACTACCATTAACTGGATTTATAATTTAATATGGTTTGTTATTTAATATTTAAAAGGACATGTTAATAATTGTTCTTAAGGTAACAAACATTGTTTTGGAAACAACCAATTTTAACCGAAGCGTTTTAAAGTCCGATATTCAACCAGAAGCTTGTCTATGAAAAGGGATTTTCTGATGAAGCTGAGGAGAATTTAACCAAATATGTATATATGGATTTATATACATCTGCTTGTAGGACAACATGCACTAGGTTCAAACTGTTAACTTGTACTTTTAATCTTTAGAAATCAACATGAGATTAATGAAAGCGGTTCAGTGATGCCGTGTTTCTGTTTGCAGGTATCAGAACAGGAGATGGATCAGATTATCGCTCGGTCCACAAACAAGGACAAACTGATCAGAAACAGACTCTGCTCTCATCACCAAGGTCTGATTTTCACCCAATGATAAATGTGTTTTTAGCTATAATGATTTAGAAGCTTTAGCTAACCACTTTGACTCGAACCCAAAGGTCTGTCCAATAAGAGTCCCTGGACGGCGGCGCGGTCGAGGTCAGGAGACAGCCCCTCCGCCCTCAGCTGGACCATGAAGAGGTTCCTGGAGCCTGCCAGCAGAGTAAGTGTCGATCCAGGATCTATTTGAATCTCTCTGCAGTGACTTCATTGATCCCGGATGGTTGGTGATATAAACTGGGGTATGCCTCAGCGTATGCCAGACGTACGAAAAACTTGCAAAAACGCTGGCATGTGTTCGATTAGTTATGGGTAAGTTTTTTATAAGTTATGAACACGCCGAAACACGCTGGCATGCATCAACATACGGCGAGTACGTCGACAGGAGCAGCTATGCGCCTGAGGGGAGCAGCTTTAACTGATGGCCAAGCATCATTTCATGGGCGTTACGCTGCCGTGTGTTATGCATAAGTTAGGCTGTTGTTGGACATAAGTTCTGGACTCGTTATAAATATGCCATGTATACGCCCACAATTGGAAAAAATACTTAGAAAGTTCAGCGTATGGCAGCGTTTTAGGACATTCTGGGATATCCGGCATACACCAGCTAAATCATCAAGGTGTGACAGGGCTCTAACTGACATGTGGAGTTAAAGTAATTGTTGTCCACATAAGGCGGGGGCCTAGTGGTTAGGGCATTGAGTTCAAGCCCCACTCCCACAGCCTCCCTGAGCAAAGACCAGTGTTGGGCACGTTACTTTGAAAAAATTATTAGTTATAGTTACTAGTTACTTCTCCCAAAAAGTAACTGAGTTAGTAACTGACTTACTCCACAATAAAAGTAACTACAGGTGCTGGTCATAAAATTAGAATATCATGAAAAAGTAGATTGATTTCAGTAATTCCATTTAAAAAGTGAAACTTGTATATTATATTCATACATTACATACAAACTCATATATTTCAGATGTTTATTTTGTTTAATTTTGATGATTACAAATGACAACAAATGAAAATCTCAAACTCATCATATCAGAAAATTAGAATATTGTGAAAAGGTTCAAAATTGATGGCCCCTGGTGCCACACTCTAATCAGCTAATTAACTCAAACCACCTGCAAAAGCCTTTAAATGGTCTTTCAGTCTAGTTCTATAGGCTACACAATCATGGGGAAGACTGCTGACTTGACAGTTGTCCAAAAGACGACCATCGACACCTTGCACAAGGAGGGCAAGACACAAAAGGTCATCGCTAAAGAGGCTGGCTGTTCACAGAGCTCAGTGTCCAAGCACATTAATAGAGAGGCGAAGGGAAGGAAAAGATGTGGTCGAAAAAAGTGTACAAGCAAGAGAGATAACCGCACCCTGGAGAGGATTGTGAAACAAAACCCATTCAAAAATGTTGGGGAGATTCACAAAGAGTGGACTGCAGCTGGAGTGAGTGCTTCAAGAACCACCACACACAGACGTATGAAAGACATGGGTTTCTGCTGTCGCATTCCTTGTGTCAAGCCACTCTTGAACCACAGACAGCGTCAGAAGCGTCTTGCCTGGGCTAAAGAGAAACAGGACTGGACTGCTGGTGAGTGGTCCAAAGTCATGTTCTCTGATGAAAGTAAATTTTGCATTTCCTTTGGAAATCAAGGTCCCAGAGTCTGGAGGAAAAGAAGAGAGGCACTTCATCCACGTTGCTTGAAGTCCAGTGTAAAGTTTCCACAGTCAGTGATGGTTTGGGGTGCCATGTCATCTGCTGGTGTTGGTCCATTGTGTTTTCTGAGGTCCAGGGTCAACGCAGCCACATACCAGGAAGTTTTAGAGCACTTCATGCTTCCTGCAGCTGACCAACTTTTTGGAGATGCAGATTTCATTTTCCAACAGGACTTGGCACCTGCACACAGTGCCAAAGCTACCAGTACCTGGTTGAAGGACCATGGTATCCCTGTTCTTAATTGGCCAGCAAACTCTCCTGACCTTAACCCCATAGAAAATCTATGGGGTATTGTGAAGAAGAAGATGCAATACACCAGACCCAACAATTCAGAAGAGCTAAAAGCCACTATTAGAGCAACCTGGGCTATCATAACACCTGAGCAGTGCCACAGACTGATCGACTCCACGCCGCATTGCTGCAGTAATACAGGCCAAAGGAGGCCCAACTAAATACTGAGTGCTGTACATGCTCATACTTTTCATGTTCATACTTTTCAGTTGGCCAACATTTCTATAAATCCTTTGTTTTTATTGGTCTTCAGTAATATTCTAATTTTCTGATATGATGAATTTGAGATTTTCATTTGTTGTCATTTGTAATCATCAAAATTAAACAAAATAAACATCTGAAATATATGAGTTTGTATGTAATGTATGAATATAATATACAAGTTTCACTTTTTAAATGGAATTACTGAAATCAATCTACTTTTTCATGATATTCTAATTTTATGACCAGCACCTGTAGATAGTAGTAAAAGTAACTATTGCGTTACTTTTGCGAATGTATGAAATTAATAACTGGGGATGTCTAATTCTGAAATCCTGTGTTTGGGTTGTTATAGATACTGCAACATGTAGCTATATCTATCTATCTCTCTCTCTCTCTCTCTCTCTCTCTCTCTCATCCATCCATCCATCCATATTTCTCTTTCTCTATATAGGCTAATGATCGTTAACGCTCTCCGTAGTTCCCCTGTGGCGCGAGCACAGGGCGGCTGTTACGCGCCTTTAGCTAGCATGCGCGTTTCCTGTCGCTTGCGCTGTGAATCGTGCCGCCGCGATTCATTTTCCCACGCTGTGCGGAGATGCAGGGGAAACGCAGCTCGACGTAACACCGGTATTTCCATTTGGAAAATGCTCGCGCTCTCTCTCTCTCTCTCTCTCTCTCTCTCTCTCTCTCTCTCTCTCTCTCTCTCTCTGTCGTCCATATTTCTCTTTCTCTATATAGGCTAATGATCGTTCACGCTCTCCGTAGTTCCCCTGTGGCGCGAGCACAGGGCGGCTGTTACGCGCCTTTAGCTAGCATGCACGTTTCCTGTCGCTTGCGCTTTGAATCGTGCCGCCGCGATTCATTTTCCCGCGCTGTGCGGAGATGCAGGGGAAACGCAGCTCGACGTAACACCGGTATTTCCATCTGGAAAATGCTGTTTTGCTGCTGGAGTCCTCCTCACTCTCCATCCTCCCCTCTCTCATGACAAGGCGCGCACGAGTCCTATCATGAAAAAAGGTTAATTGTGCGACCTGAGTAACGTGCAGTAACGGGGTGTTACAGTTACAGTAAGAGTAATCATTTTGATTACTCGTTACTAAAAAAGGTAGCGGCGTTAGTAACGCCGTTACTTTCAACGCCGTTACTCCCATCTCTGGCAAAGACCCTTAACCCCACGCTGCTCCCTGGGCGCCGCAAAATGGCTCCCCATGGGGATGGGTTGCTCGCGCAGTGTAATGACAAGAAAAAAATCGATCCATCCTCTGCTAAGATAGGGATTTAAAGGCTCCCTAGGCAGATTTTGATTGGTTCTCTGACCTTGAACCAACACTCCTCTCATGCTGTTTTTGTCCCATGTTCTTGATGCTGATGCAGGCATCCCTGAGCTCAGAGACAGAGCTTTCCCAGTACTTCCCTCATGACCTTCCTGGCCAGCCTGCCGCCCCCAAATCCGGTCTGAAGAGCTCAAACAGTGATCAAGGGCTCCACCAGCTGGGCTTCAGTACCTCCACAGAAGACGAGCTTTCACAGCCCCGAGGTAAAACAGTTTTGGTTTCGTGTGACGGTTGTTTATTTCTAAACGCTGCATCATTGTTTATGTTTTTTTGTATTTATGCTTTTTCTCAGGACTTGGCACCTCCGTGATGGACATAAACCACGACCCTGAAAGCATCGCATCGAGCAGCCAGACCTCTGTTCCCTTCCAGCCCTTTGTGGAGCCCCTTTGCCCCGCCCCCTCTGCCCACAGCCCCACCTCAGTGCGGAGCCCCCTGCTCCGCCAGCGACGGGTTATATGCTTAGAGGAGGAGCTTAGTGACAATGAGGCCCACGAGGCTGAGTTACTAAACCCCCCAAAACAGCCCGATGTTCCACCCTCAGCACAGGCATTGAATCCCACACTGAACCTCTGTCCCAGGGAGGGGGAAGGAGGTATTCACACCGTTACCCTCAAGAGAAGAGAGGATGAGGCATTCGGACTGGACCTGGAGATCATGTCCTCTCCTCTGACGGTCATGGTTGCTGGTTTAAAGCCTGACCGGGCTGCAGAATGGGTTCGTCTGAATGAGCTTTGGTCTAATTTCATTCCTAAAATGCCGTTATAAGACGTGGTGTTCTTGATCTTCTAGAACGGTGAAAGCAAACTCTGCCCAGGAGACCAGATCGTGAAGATCGGAGATAAAGCTGTGAGCTCTTCAAATTACCAGGAAATCTGTGAACTTATGCACAACCTTCCAATGACTCTGTCTTTGGAGGTGAGGCGTGCTGCTTCAGGTAAGAAGCACTAAAGGAAGGCGGTCGATAAGCATTCAGTCTAAAAAGAGACGAGTTGATTTATGTTTTAATGGTTGATTTAGGCCACAGGTTTGTCTTGCTGTTCTTCCCTGCAAATAGGTCGTCCAATTTTGTCATCAAAGCTGAATCCAGAACTTTAAACCTGTACATCTACACAAACATCAGAAATGTGTCAGGTTTGCAATGAGATGAGTTTGTAGCAGCAGGAACAGGCAGCGGTTCAAGTCTCGGGTCAAAAAGGGTCAAAGACAACAGTCCAAATGTAAGAAGATGGAAGTTTAACTAAGGGTTGTTTATGCATCTTCTGCCTGTGGAGATCTCCTGTTTTAGTTTGGACTTTATCCACCTTTGATGACCCCTGAGTTTTCATCCAAAAAAGTGCTAACTTCTCTGCACCTCCTACTTAACTTGCAGCACGAGGAGCTTCCAGTAGCATGCTCATCGGTTAATACAACGTGGAAGCCAGACCAAACCAACTCAGTCTGTCGATTTTAAATGGTTAAAACTGCTTCTTTTTTAATTTTTGGCCATCCAGACACAATAATATTATGATCAACTGCAGCACTGAGATCTACAGATAGAAATCTGAGACCATGAGAATGTCATTAGTGACTTTTTCAGTGCTATGATTAGCTCTAAAAACTGAATGAAACTCTTCTGAAAGTTATTCTGGTGTAAGAGGTGTCACTCTGGCTTAGCAACAATTTTCTTAACAATTTTAGATCAGAAAGGACGATTCGATATAGGTCTATAATTGACCGAGTCAACTGGGTCAAGAGTCATTTTCTAAACATTTCTTTTCTGAACACCTGCTCATGAGTAGTTCATCAGTTTTCCCTCCTGTGTTGTTTTCATGCTGTAGGTATAGATTACTGTCACTTAGTCGTATAAAGATTGATCTGAAGTTAAAAATCCTCTCAGAGAAACTTTTAGGCAGCAGCCAGCTTTAGTTCAGAGACTCCAACTGTTTCTATTAGCTCTACTTCTGTAGAGTCAGGCTCATTCAGGACTTTATCATTGAACTGAGATCAGAGTCAGAACTAGGGTTGGGAATTGATGAAATTTTCCCGATTCCGATTCTCTTATCAATTCTGTGAAACAATGAAGTGCACGGTGACATTCGTCTACCTTCGCCTGGGACATTCTACTTCTGCCTTCCTCGGGGAAAACAAAGGCCGTGAACGGGAGCTTCCAACCTCTGAGCCACCCAGGCTACCCGTCTCCTCACAGTCATCTAAATCTAATGGAGAAGGCATGCGTTTAATGAAAAAGCATTACTGTACAATTTTGGGAAATAAACTCATCTCACCCTGATTTAAATAAAGGAGCGTCACCTTTGTCTCATTCCCTTAAATTCGGAGCAACTTTGTAGCACGTTTAATACCCCAAAGAGAGGTAGGAAACTTGTTTATTTCCAGAAATGGCATCTGATTTACTGGGAACCACATTAAGCACAGCCAGTGATATAAAACTAGCTACTAACCACCAGAGTTGCCTTCCATGCTGGTCGTAACTTTAGCTTCTGTCCAGAAGTTGGATGTATTTCCTCCCGCGGATGTATTTGCCACTTGTTGCACCTTGTTGCTATCTTTCTCTTCCTTAAAGTGAAGCCAATCTTTCGATTGCTTTGACCGCTTTTGTTTTGCTTTTCTAGACTTGCGCCCGGTCATGTCGTACTTGCTTACTGAATGCCGTGTGTGTAACTTGCGTATAAAATTTGACGTAAGTCGTGCTGCCCAGCGCTAGGCTCTGGTGCTGCCTGGAATCTTAAAGCGAGCTGCCAGATGGTGCCATGGAATTGGAACACATGGAATCGGTTCTGAACAGGAACCGTTTTTCGATTCCCATCCCTTGGGTCTGGTCGCGAACCAGTTTTGCTGGTATGCTTCTGCACCGTCGGTCTGGAATTTCTAGGGATGTGCAGCAGTTTCCCACCAAAGCTCTAGGGGGAGCCTGTTCGAGAACTCACGAGAACTTCGGCGGATGGTCAGGAGAACTTCGGCGGCGCCGACGGGAGTATTTATCTTCCAAAACGAAAAAGGCATATCTACAAGATATCATGGTCACGGAGATGGATCTCGAGTTGCCATACATCGAAAACCAACAGGTTCTGTTAATGGAGTTGGCAAAAAGACCGATTAACCTTTCGTAGTAGTTGTCTAGTGTAGTTGTACCTCGGTTTTAAAAATGGCACTCCCCTGCACCGAATCGAGAAGGACGACAACACAGACAGCCGGAAAGCCATACCAAGGACCAGTCACAGCTGCTTTTTGTCTGCGCACTTCTGTTTGAGGTCTGCGTAGGTTTGCGACCGTCCGACGCATAGTCAGGATTTTTTTGAGGTGCGTGACGACGGTCGTATTGAACGCAGATATGCCCCCGCCCCTTCCGCAGACACTTTGGTAGACCTCTCGATAATTGTAGGTGACCACAGACAGTACCGCAGACAGGAGGCCTCTGATTGCTACATCCGCTCTACACTATACCCGTTTGGTACCTTACCGGCCTTTTTGTTTGTATTGTTGCCATTGTGGAAAATGACTCATGAAGTTGGACCAGCTAGAAGAGCGAGGTGCACAATTTCCACCTGGATCCCCGCTCTTTTTCACCTTCATGTCCCTCCATTTTCACACAAACTTTTTCCACTTCCTCAACTCCACGGCCGTATCTAGACCCACGGCTAGTTCCTGATTGTCCCTCTTGCATTGTGGCGTGGAATAACATAGCGCTAGCCTCGTGAGACCATCCTGATCTCGCAAGCTTTCAAGATTTCACTCGCTAATCAGTCTGGAGACTCTCCGTTAAAGAAAATTTGGAACCGTTCACCAAACGAACGTCCAATCAGCGTTGGCTTTGAGGCGAGTTGAGGTGTGACGCAACAAGAAGTGCGACAGTTCAGTCTAAAGAACATAGCGGCTTCAGTTGATGAAACTAGCGTTAGCGTGGCTATCTAGCAACTTTTAATTCAATTCAATTCAGTTTATTTATATAGCGCCAAATTCACAACACATGTCATCTCAAGGCACTTTACAGTTCAACCAGATCATACAGTCAAATCGATACAAAGTTTTCTATCTAAGGAAAACCAGTTGATTGCATTGACTCATTGACTCAAATACAATCCCCCACACTAAGCATGCTTGTAGCGACAGTGGAGAGGAAAAACTCTGTTTTAACAGGAAGAAACCTCCAGCAGAACCAGGCTCAGTGTGAGCGGCCATCTGCCGAGGCCGACTGGGGTTCAAGGAGACAGAAGCAGAGATACAAAAAGCAGCTGTAAAAGGCGGCCCCGTCCAGGAAACACACAGCCAGGCAGACGAGCTCCAAGGCAGCTCCCATGCCAGAGGACGAAGAGAGCACATCCACTCAGTCACGGTCAGAGAAACAGGACCACACTGGAAAACAGGCCGATCTCCAACATCTATAAACAAGGGTGTTGATGGAAGCAGCACAGCTGATGTTTCTTTCCAGGATGACGTCACAGCCAAACAGGAACAGACGAGGCAAAGCTACTTTGAGGAAAAGCAGAGAGAGCAGAAGGTTAGAGATTGAACTAACAGATTCTGCAGAATAGGGGAACAGAGAGAGAATGAAGCAGAATGATGAAATGGGGGTCCCTATGTCCTCCAAAAGTCTAAGCCTATAGCAGCATAACTATAGAGATAGCGCAGGATAACCTGAGCCACCCTAACTATAAGCTTTATCAAAAAGGAAAGTTTTAAGCCTAGCCTTAAAAGTAGACAGGGTGTCTGCCTCACGGACTAAAACTGGTAGTTGGTTCCACAGGAGAGGAGCCTGATAACTAAAAGATCTGCCTCCCATTCTACTTTTAGAAATTCTAGGAACCACTAGTAAACCTGCAGATTGAGAGCGAAGTGCTCTGTTAGGAACATAAGGAACAATCAGATCTCTGATATAAGATGGTGCTTGGCCATTTAAGGCTTTATATGTGAGAAGGAGGATTTTAAATTCTATTCTTGATTTAACAGGAAGCCAATGTAGAGAAGCCAGGATAGGCGAGATATGATCTCTCTTTTTAATTTTCATCAGAACTCTGGCTGCAGCATTTTGGATCAGCTGAAGGCTTTTAACTACAGTTTGTGGACTTCCTGATAGTAAAGAATTACAATAGTCCAGCCTTGAAGTAACAAATGCATGGACTAGTTTCTCTGCATCACCCCTGGACAGGATATTTCTAATTTTTGCAATGTTCCTCAGATGAAAGAAGGAAATTCTAGAAACCTCTTTGATATGGGATTTAAATGACAGGTCCTGATCAAAAATAACACCAAGATTTTTTACTTTATTATCTGAAATCAGTTTAATCCCATCTAAATGAAGTGACTGGCTAATCAGTTTCTTTTTCAGAGACTCTGGTCCAAAGACTATAACTTCTGTTTTGTCTGCATTCAGAAGCAGAAAGTTAAGAGTCATCCAGGTTTTTATGTCTTCAAGACATGCCTGTAATCTATGTAATGGGTTAGCTTCATCTGGATTTATAGACAGATATAGCTGGGTATCATCAGCATAACAGTGGAAATTAATCCCATGCTGTCTAATAACTCTACCAATTGGGAGCATGTATAAAGTAAAGAGAATTGGTCCTAGCACTGATCCCTGTGGTACTCCACAGGTAACCTTTGAGCGTGTTGAAGATCTATCATTAACATGAACAAACTGAATTCGATCAGATAGATAAGATTTAAACCAGTCTAGTGCTGTTCCTTTAATTCCAACAAAATATTCAAGTCTTTCTAAAAGAATATTATGGTCAACTGTATCAAATGCAGCACTAAGATCCAACAGGACGAGCACAGATACAAGTCCATTATCTGAGGCCATGAGAATATCATTAGTGACTTTCACCAGAGCTGTTTCAGTGCTATGATGAGTTCATTATGGTGTAAGTGGTCGCAAACTTGTTTGGCAACTATTTTCTCAAGAATTTTGGATAAGAAAGGAAGATTGGATATAGGTCT